TAAACTGTCAGTGAGGCATAAAGTTGAAATTATCCAAATTATCATGGGGCGGTGTGCGCCGCCCCTCGCCCCCTCCACGCTTGGGAGAGGGGAATTCCCGGATTTCCATAAAAAAGTGTCGTCATAAAAATTCTTTATTTCTCACGTTAGGTGCCTCCGTTTATCACCAGAGCATAAATAACATCTATATACAACCTTTTCGGTTTAAAATATGTTTTTCGCATTAGCTAACGCTGGGTTTTGCTTGACGGTTTAAGGTGGTGCATCTGACGATTGTTAACATAATTTAATAGATAAGAGAATTATAATCCAAGAGTCTAGTACCACAGGTAGATAAAGGGGACTTGTACAGTTTCGTTCATATGTACATCGAGTTGTAATAAATTGTAGGTAGAACTTGCTAACAAGCCAAGTTCGAAACCGCACTGGAGCAGTACAGCGGGAGGCCAATACAGCTCGTACTTGTAAATATGTATGACCCAGGGCAATGGAGGGCAATAGAGTCGAAATGAAAAGGGCACAGCAGTAATACGAAGGTAAATAACTATTCGCCGGTAGAGGGCCGTAGACGCCGCTAGACGAGATGGGTTCCTAACAACAGATAGGAAATAAGAAAAGTGCTTTACTCCGAGTGCGAAGCTGTAGTTTGGGATACGGCGCAATACTCAATACGCAATGCTCAACGGCGATATGTTTTCACTTTTTCTTAACTGCATTTATGGCGTTGTAAGAGGACTATAGGATAACATTAGCTGTTAAATAAGCACCGATTATTGTATTATGTTATTGTATTTATATTTTTTCAAACAGTCAAACCGTAATCAACAACCAACCACTAAAATAACCACTAAAACAATATTATATAATATTGATTAAATCGCTTCGCAGCTATAAGTCACCGTAAAAATAAAATCTTATAGGTAACCTTCGTTTGCTATGCGCGTGCGAAAAATGCTACGTGAATGCCACATCCAAAACGTGTCTTCCGTGGCAGGTATAGGAGAAGGTTGATTAGATACGTAGTTATGTTCGCGACGCAATGTCGCAACTCGGCTACCCTCGATCGAAACATCGCTTAACCGAGATTGAACATACTCCATTATGTTTTACGTCATTATGTTATTCTCATTTCTATGTTTGACACTGTCTCAGCCTCGTACAGAGCGCGGCGTATGAGAGCTTTTCGTCGATAGTAGCAATTCTGTAAAGTGCACCGACGTCTAGATGTTTTTTGCCTCCCACCGAGCAAATATTAGCTCTACCCGGTGCTCAAAGTAGAAGTTGAGACGGCCGCGAATCTAAAGATGTAAATTCAATCTTATTTACTGCATTACGTAACGGCGAGCTACATCCACTTATGTTGTTAACTTTAAATGAAATTGAACAAATAAAAGCGAAGAGCGGACGGTTCAGTTCTTAATACTTTTTTACGTTCGTAGCGACATTTAGGGTTGCGAGATGCGAGCGTCTTTGCGATTATAAAAGGTCAATGATAGTACGTGATAATGCTCGCGGATTGTACTTCATACTTTTTGAATTTAACTTGTCTATAGGAAAGTTATGTTAATCGCTCGGTTGAAGTAGCGAACGACCGGTCGGACTAGAATTCTTTGGAAGAACCCTATGTTCAGCGGTGGACTCCGAACGGCTGAAACGATACTTTAGAAATAATTGGCTTGAGGCCTTTTGAAGATCTATTTTTATATCTATAGGCGACAAAGACTATTCCTAGCTTGAAAAACAAACAGATTGATAGGTTTTTTATTTGTTGCTCAACGTAAACTTCTATTATTCGAATATGTCTTCACTGGACTGTCCAATTGAGCCCTTATTTTTAAATTCGAGTACATCGGTTTACAGGTTGTCGTCAAACCGCAAACCGCCTGCAGAAATACAACATAATTTCCGGCAGCGCAGTGGAAGCGGGAACAAGGAAAGTTAGCAATATCCAGAAGTATTTAGAAGTTGCGAGTAAACATTTTATTGGACTTTATTAATTGTTTAAACAGGCTTTCATATCCGGCACTCGTGTTAACTTTGTAACGTTTGTACGAGTTGTTCGACGGAAGTTGCTCTAAGTTGAAGATTAAAAATATCTTCCAGACTTGCAGGGAGATTACATTTTCTAGGTTTATGCGTTATGTTTATACTTACTGTATCTTAGAATTTTTCGAGTTAAAATAGTACCGGAATAGAGTCAACATTTTCGTGATTTTTTTAGAAGCATGGAACCATAATACACACAGCCTTAAAATTTATTTAAAGTCTACTTTTTCAATGTTCGAGGAGGACAGACAAGAACGGCTTTCACTCGATTGCAGGTGATCCATCACCTTCCATCGAGTGAATCCCCTGGAGTCCTCCCCAGACATATAATATCTAAACAAAATGTGCTGTCCCTACTTTGGCTTTGGAAATTTGGAGATCCACGGACTGAAACAGAAACGCGATTTCCAGACGTCCAACATGATCCAGAAAAATTATAAATTGATTAGAAACATGATGAGGAACAACTCCGGTGAGCATCGAACCCACGACCCGTCGATCATCAGCCACACATTGGTACCATTACCGACGAACCCTGACTACCTTAGTTGGAGAAGTCCAAATAAACGTTTCCTCATAAAAGTTCGCTTTATTTGATATTTCATGGCCAATATGCTGTTGACGATTACATATTTATGCGATGTGGCCGGCGCCTGCCGTAAAACCTTTCGTCCATTGTCCCAAAAGACATATTCTTTTAATAGACGGCGCGGCGTTTTGTAACGAGTTCGTTTCACACGATTACTCGTCTAGAAGTACTAAATGGATGTCAGTTCCAGCGTTTCACATTATCCTTTTTTTAAATTAAATTAGTAACTGCAACTAAACGTAGTAAGTAACACTGCGAGTACAGTAATTCGGCTAAATTTGTAAATGAAGACGTTTAAAATATTTTTTTTGCGAGAAATGGTTTGGTTGATATTTTATTTAGTTATTTTCTATATTTACGGATTTCAGCACTTCAAAATTAAATTATCTTCAAGTTTTCTAACAAAGAGAAAATTTAAAAGTGTTAATTTATAAAGTAAAGTAGTTTGTTGTCATCCATAAAACTCTTTTAATTGGTCGAAAACGTCTTTAAAGCGACAAAGTCTCAGATAATTGCAGACCACGACATATTGACCTCTCGAAACTCCTTCCGGCTTAATTAGAAAGCATTATAGAAGCACAGAACACTGAACAAACCAAAATGAGTGTTCGATCATAATTACGAGAATAAACACCAGCAGTGTGACCTACATGTGCCCCATTACCACTATTCGAGTTTGCATCGGAGTTGCCTATATAGTTGCGTTCAAATATTTATTAAGTAATACTAAGATACCCGCCAACTTTTTTTTCCAAAGGCACCGATCGAATGGCTGAATTTGTTCCTTATCGAAATACTCGTACTTGCCGGGGTCGTGACTTCCTCGCTTTGAAAAGCGTTTACGGTTGCTGGTTTGTTCAGCATTCTGTATATAGAACGTGGCCGACTCCAGATTATAATGCGGGACGTTCAAAATGACCTAATTAACATTTGGAGCTTAAAACTCGTACAGACCGATACGAAAACTCCATTTCAAATAAGATTTGCAATTTCTGTGTCTCGATCACAGTAGTCAAAAAGAGAGAGAAATATTACTAATCTCTGTTACGAGGTAATCGGAAACGATAATCAACATATTAAACAGGTGATATAGGAAATCCCGCTAATGAGTTGTTAAATTTGAACAAATAAAGATTTTGAGCTGCGTCCACCGTTTCGCTTATCGGGCTGCACTCAGCGAGATCAATATGCAAGCCCCCAAATCGCGGCTCGCCTTAAAGTACCGACGCAATCTAACGACGAGCCCTAAAACAGAAATGGGGCATTCGAACCGCTCGCTGCGATTTTTCCATGTGATGTGGTGAATTATTAATTCCATTAGCGAACCCGCAATCACAGCCACTAACGAACGCCCGCCGCCTGCGGTTCGTTTTACACACGCTTTTATTAAAAACCCCAACCCAAATTAAGTAGAAATATCTCTGTTTGACGGGTCGTAATTATTTTGCCAACATGTGTTATACATTATCGCAAATGTACCGCGGAGCGTAAGAACTTGTGTGTAAATAAAATTCAGTTAGCGGTTTTTCATAATGTCTATTTTTTACCTTTAAATTTTCACATTCTCCCGGTCGATGATTTGTAAATAAAATCTTCATCGCTTATTTGACCTTTCAACAACAATTCGATTATTTAACTAATCGGTATGTCCTGTGTGAATAACTTTCTTTCTAACGGTTTAACTCTTGACCGTTTTATGATAAAACGTACCCATACAAGGATTAGTAATAAATACCGCTGGGTACTCGAGTGATTCCGACGATTTTTTATCCCTAACTCGGTAAAAGTAAGAAGGAAGAATAAGAAGTAACAAATTACCTTTTACTCCTTTTAATTGTTTAACACGTAAAGTCCTACGAATTACTACATACTAGAATCGTCCATTACAAGTAATACGGTTCTATCTTAAAATGTTTTTTCCGCTAAACCCGAAGTAGAAAACGTGGCTCATATTGTTCGATTCTATTAATAAATATGATACGATATTGTTCGTAATGGGCGTAACAGTAGGATTAAATTTCATGTCGAAAAGCGCCCTCTCTTGACAAAAAGTATCATATTAATTTATAAGTATATATGAAAATATAACGTTCTTTTTCCATTTAAGATTATTTAAAGTAAATATGGATTTTAAAATAACTAAAAACGTAATAAAGATATTATCGTTAAATTATATTCAATTAAAGTAAATCGCTAATAATTTAAATATGTACTTTTTTCTGTAACAAGACTGGTGGATACCACTGATAGCTGTCAAGTGTAAATTGTCAAGTTGACAGAAAGTGATCATGACAGACTTTTACTTTTCGTGGTGAATTTCAAAATATCGTTTCAAATTATGTTTTATATGGAAATTGTTTGCGCGATGGCGATGAGTTATTTATCTGAGAACCAAGCACCGCGGGACTTCAGAGTGTCGTCTACGGAGAGCGACGGTCACTACACAAAGTGTCCTCTTTGTTATACTGTTAAAAGAAATTTTTACTGCGCAGATTGTGTAAGAAATGGTAATTTCGTTCATTCTTCATTGCCTTACTCGGACAGGTGAGAGTAACTACAATTTTTCCTTAGCGACGGATAGATCGTCACAAAACTTTTTAAAAGAAACCAATAATACAAGTTTATCCGAAACGTTTAAATGAGAGCGATTGAATTACTTATTTATCACAAACTTGCTTGCTATAGTTAGCAATTATTATAGTTTTAAGAAATAGACTTCACAATTTCTGTTCCATAATCATTCGGGAAATAAAGAAAGGTTAATCTCTTACTATAAAGTAGATAAAGATAAATTAGTTGTTACTAAAGCATTCTTTCTTCAAGACTTGTCCTTGTGTATTACTTACATGCATACATTGCTCTTAGATTTTCAGAGAAACAAGCCAAGCTAATGCGTGTGAAAATAAATCGTCAACATATCTTAGATAGATGTGATAAATTACTAGCACCTAAGTTAAAAAAAGATATTCTAATCACTGAAACAAAACAATCTCAAGATCAATTGAATCTTTTGAGACTGGCCATTGAACAGCGCAAGAGTCGTGTTGGCATATTGAAGCAAGAATTGAATGAGTTGGTTAATAGTAATGAAGAACTGAGATCTAAGCTGCCAAAGTATCAGAAGAGAGTTTCTAGTTTAGGCCATCATGCTCAATTACAACACGTGGAGGTTCAGAAGAAGATCAGTGCTTATAATGAACAGGCCCAAGCCTTAGCTGAGCTCCGAAGATCAAGGATACGGCAACTCAATAGATATATTTTTCCTGTGTATATAAGTTATGATTCCAGGTAAAATAGTACTAATATTGCATAATAATTTTATTGTATGTTCTTAATGAAGTCAAGTAATATGCAAGCAATCATATTATTATTCTATTTTCTTTGGTAGTCTAAAACCTGTTGCCTGTGTCTTCAAAGTTGGTTATTTTTGGAGCAAAAAGCACATAACAAACTGAAAATTATTTCTGCTTGTAAACTGGCATCTCAAAAAATTACATTAAAAAGTTGCGTGAGTCATGAGATAAAAATGAATGAATAGCTATGAAATTATATATATTTTAGCTAAGTTTTGCCTGACATTGCAATAATAAAGCTATTTGTTTAGTGATATTATATAATAGAATTATAGGTCATTTCAATTTGTATAATCTGAAATACCAAGCATTAATGTTCTTAGTGAAAGCAAAGGTCTTGCTGCTGTAGACTAAGCTTTGTATTTAATAAAGATTTTGTTGACTGTATGTAAAATGACATCTTTTTATCATTTGTGTTTCTCCAGTGACAGTATCGAAGATTTGGAATTTGTTGGTGGTGATGAAGAGCAGGAACCCCCTAGGCGACCACAGCTGCACATTGTTGCTCCATTTGTTGAGATAGATGGAGACTATTCACATATTCAAGCCTGGGGTAAGAAATTCATTCTAAGTAAAAAAATCTTAGACTTAGAATAATGCTTAAGCTTAGAGGCAGTATATTTTACAAGCATACATAACGAATATACGGTTATGTGAATGACTATTTCAGTGTCCGGGAACAAGGAGGCATGCAACAGTTGCACGGGAAGCACTAACCCGGCTCATCGCACCGCAGCAGCCCTAGGACTGTGTGCGCAGCTGACGGCTTTGCTCGCTTGGACCCTGGACGTGCGTCTGCCGCACGCTATACAACTCAGGTATTTCCATTAAATAGCTAAGTATCATTATTTTCTTTCAGGGACACCTATAGAACGGCCTTCTATAGGTGTCCCCGAAAGAAAATAGCAGGTGATCAGTCCACACTAACAGCTGACTATTTCACCCATTTGTAGGGGAAGCTTAGTACTTAAAAATTTATGTATTTTAATTAATTGCGTATTGAATTACAGTGAATGCGCAGAAATGAGTCGCTGGCGAAGCCTCGCGAGACGTGTGCGCATCTGCGGCGGAGCGATGTGCGCACGAGCGGACATTCCAGCGGAGAGCAGTTCGCGGGGCCTCGCCGCGTTACACGCCTTGGCGCTCGCTGCAGCCGCCGACGAACCCGCGCTCGGCAGGTGAGGCACTCCTTATTTATACAAGATGATCGTGATTTTTCCATACTGTCATAAAATTGCTACCATTTGTTTTTTTGGCAATTTAAAACTGAAAAGTGATACATGCCGCTGAACGTATCTCGGTCATCTGTTTTTTTTCCAATCTAAATTAGATTTTAATTCACCATTAGGTTCATAAACAGTATTGGTAATAACATAATAATTGCTCTTAATCCAAATTACACGGTCCAGCCAGAAGCACGACAATATTAGTGTTTTTGTTGAAAGGGTGTATCGGCGTTTTGCTTTATTCCGTTTTTATAATACAGATAGCACCACAATCGTCATCACTTTGAGGTTTGTCCAGGTTTGACCAGACCTCAAACCTAACCAACTTAATTAAGTTTATTTTTGCTTTTTTGACGTCAGAGTGGAGTCGTGGTGCAACTCTGAAAGTGTGTCCGCCCAGTGGGAAGAGGTGTGGAGTGCGGAGGAGCGGTGCGGGGGTGACACGACGGGGACGGAGGGGGGCGACGTAGACGACGCTGAGCCTCCGGAGCATTTGCACTGGCCGGACACTGCGCAGGTGACGACAAATATTAAAATGCCTTTCTTTCGAGAGAAACTGTACTTTGTAGACATTCTCGCTTGATTTGCTATTATATATTATAGTTGGAAGAAATGAGCAGCACTCCGCCCGCAGCGCCATCTTTAGTGACGTCAGCGGCCGCGTCGATCGCCTCGATATGGCGTGGCTGGAACAAGTGACCGCGCCCTTTTGCTTTTCGTATATTGACCCTCGGACCGATGTATGTAATCTAATGCGTAATACGGGTACATTGTGATATAAATTCGTCTTTAATTGCTTTAGAATTAATTTAGAAAATATACTCGAAGGAGAGGCTAACATTTTAACACTAGTGTGAGAAATTTTATCTTAACGTTTATTCTACTGATAAATGCACCTCTCGTGCAATATTATAATTTGAGCCCTAATACAAGAGTGTTAAGGTTGAAATGGACATGACGTGTAGGACACGGTAGCTCAATTTGTTGGAACAAAGACGCGGATCGCTGTGGATGCCGGTTCAAGCCCTGCCCGTGTAGTAAGTTTTTTTTTCAATTTGAAATCGATTTTTAACTTAAAATAAACAAACCGCCGTCTCTCTTTCACATTATCATGCGAAAAACAAGGATCTAATGTTTTAACATTTATTTGTCATGTCAACTACGTGCAGACTCAGTAATGAGATATTTTGAGTACAACTCGTGTACATTCGTGTTTTTTATACAAAACCTTTCTCATATTTTTACACAAACAGTCGATTGTTGATGCGATGATTCGACGCTTTAGGCTTCCTGCTAGTGAAATAGGCTTTATTTACATTGCTAAACTTACAGCTGTTGTAAGCTTTAATTTAGATAGTGAAATTGATTATCCCTAATTATGTGTAATTTTTTAATTCTCTGTTAGTTTTAACAGAAATAAAAGGCTTCAATTTAACATCTCCTTTATTTCTACATTAATAAATAAATCATCCTCGAATAAGACTAGCGAACGAAACTAAACATTCAAATTGTTATTTTTATTAATTATTACCTTATTTTTGAAGTATAGTAAATGCAGGCAAGATTAGAAATTACTTACAATAGTACATTAATCTGGTACTCATGTCAACTTTATTTCCCAAGAGCTGCCAATTAATTTAAACCTGGATAAGATCGGTGGTGACAGTGATCGCGAATTATTATTATTTTTTTCAATAATCAGTGTCACAGCGACTCTTAAGCTAATTCTAGGTCTTCATGAGTAGAATACTTTATGGCCGTATTTTTAAACCTGAATAATATGACAATCAGTCCCTATGCCCACTGTGCCCGTGCTGACACCATCTCCTTTGAGCATCTGCTAGGGCGTCGTGGGCCCGCTCCACCCGCTCCAACAGTTCGTCCGTTGGGGATATCGCGCGCTGCAAACAAACATTAATTACGCACATAACAGGGAAAATATTGTGTTCGTTAGAGTGACGTCTTTTTTCCTAAAACTTCGATAAAGAAGTGTTTATACTTACTGAAGCGAGCAAACTACACACATGTAAGTGTTGCTGCGAGGTGCTCGTGCCGCATTCGCTGCGCGTCGGATGCTGCAAATAGTAGTGGTATCAAAAGAATGAATTATTTTTTATTAAAAAAAAAAACTCATACACTGGCAAAAAAAACTTCTGGTAATAGATACATGGCGTACACACCGTGGAAGGCTTTTTCCTCAACAGTCTGCGAGGTGGCGTAGGAGGCGTAGGCTCACTCGAGCTGGTCAACCGCTTGGAGCAGCACGGTTCGGTCAGGCGCTCGCTTTCTGTGTGGGAGTTTTGCAAGGCGCGGATTAAGGTCTCCTGCTGTTGGAGCTGTTCTTGCTGCTGCCTCCTCGTATCCCTGTGCTTGCGGTGGCACCGTCTCAGCGCGGTCACGGCATTCCGCATTTCCTGACACAGGGTCGCGCTTTGGGATTGCGCTTCTTCCAATTGGTCGTGTAATTCGTCCGCAAAGCTTGTCCTCTCTCTGAAATTGCAACACTCGGTTACAGTGGAGACGAAGTGGACTGAACCGGAGGAGCTTTTCACACGAAAAGCTGCTTTTCGCGTTTTGACTCGCTCGTCGTTACGGCTCATGATTAACGAGGCCGTGGCTTCAATCCCTACCGCGTCCAACATTTTTCTAATTAGTTTATGATTTTCTGAAACATATTGGACTTCTGGAAATCTGGATATTAATAGAGCGGTAGGGATATCGAAGTTTACTCACATTTCAGTTTCAGCCGAAATAAGTCGACAGTGCATCTTGGAGATGGTATCAGGCTGGCGTAATTCACCTACCATCGATTGAACACAATGCTTGTCTATCCTCCTCTGTCATAGCAAAATGTACAAAGTACCTGTAGTGCTCCTCTAGATGGCGATACCGCTGCCTCGACCGATGCAACTCGTGTTCCAGCTCTCGCAGGTACCGTCGACTGTCTTCCAGTTGTTCGCGCCACGAAGATACTTCGGCCCTCAACTGTTTCACCTCGTCTCTGATGGCGCGGTTCTGAATACGTTTTAAATTTTGTATATTTAAAAGATTTGTGTTTTTATGCAGAACGTTAAAAAATACTAATCACTACGAATACCAACGGCCATGTAAACTAGAACTTGGTTAGTTTTGTTATATATTCAGGCAGACTTAATTGGTCTTTTAAATGTGGCAAATAATCAACAAGGCAAAGTATAGCTATCAATAATAATTCGTATTCTCTCAGCGATTATTATTTGTAATTTTTATTACCAGCGCCATCTATCATCTCTTATTAATTGTCTGTCGCAAAAGTACGAATCGACCGATATGGTGAAAATTGTATTCTACCCTTACTTCTTTGACAATTGTATCAGCTCTGTGCAGGTTTCTCTTTAGTTCTCGTATGCTCTGGTCCTGCTGGTGGCATTTTTGGTGAAGCTGTGTAAGCTCTAATGTTTTCTCTTGCAATAATCCTGTCAAATATAGAGATGTGAACATTTTGAGCATTTAGCCTATGCAGTACTTGAAAATTACTACATAAATATTGTACCAGAGCCCTTAAACGCACACCGTTGCACAATGGTATTCAATTTATATATACAAGCTTAGATACATTTTGCATTAAAATGTCTTTAGCTCGATTTGGTACGGATAAATACCTTGAACCTGCTTAAGTTCCAGAGATAATTCATCGCAGCAGCATTTCCGACTTGATGATGGCGACTCGTTCAGCAGCTGCGTCATTTGATTTGACTGAAACCAAAATTAAACATTACAATGTTAATCTTCAAAAAAGACAATTTATTTATAAATGCAGCTTTGCCATTCTTGTGTTCTAAACAAAAAAAAAGAAATTGTAAATCTTGGGTTTTGAACCGGTCAACCCTCGCAATTGAACTAAGCCTTTCACATGACCTATGTGTTTTACGCAACGTGCGATAGAGCACACATAGCAGGTAAGTATACATATATCCTTCTCGCCCATTAAAGATTCGGAAGAGCAAAAAGTAAAGTTAGACAAAGCAAGAAAACGAGGACGGGGCCAGAAGATACTTACCTCCTCATCTTTATCAGCGATATTATTTTGATACCCCCGTTCAGCTATCTCCTTTGCCCCTAGGGCTTCTTCCAACTCACCAATTCTATGGCGAAGCTCACCGATCAGCATCTGTCGGTTAAAAGTAATAGTTTTAATTTCCCAATTAGATTCAAAAGAAAAGGCTCTTAAACTTGCTACCTTAATTTTGTCGCTGTTGTTTTAGAAAATACGATTGTTTACCCACCTCGTTAGCTTCATTAGCGCGCTTCAACCGCTTATGATCTTCGTCCAAGCCGCAAGTGCACTCCTCCTGGAAGCAGTACAGAACTATTAAGACGTGCAAAGCCGAGATTAATGGCTATGATTTAGTATGAATAACAGAAGAGGTCGTGCAAGTAATTTCGAAAGCTAAAAACATTACAAAAATAGCATTAAATAATATTATACGAATATCACAATGTGGTGAAAAGTAAGTTTCAGTTATTTCATTCTCTTAGCATACATTATTTAAAACGTGCGTTTCGGTTAGTTAAAACAAATAGAAAAGTCAGACGACCATTTTTTATTATTCAAATACCGTTCTATATTTACATAATAGACACACAAAACATTTTTCAATAAATTTATTATCTACTATAGACACGCATGCGTACAAATCAGTTCATTTGTTGTGGGGTTATGCACAAAGAAGACAACAAATAAAACCGAGTAATAACCGTACAATGAGCAGTTCTCTCAGATGATGCAACTGTGATGCGATCTGCTGAAGTTCCTCCGAAATGTCACACTCTTCACTCCTCTCCCACATACCCTGGCACAAAATAAAAGGATAACTGTAGTCCCTTATGCTTTCCATTATTATAGGTACAATTTCCATTAGACGAGGCACAGGAGTCCGTCCGTCTATCTATTTGCCCGTAAATAAAACACACTCATTATTCAATATCGATAAATACCGAATCATTGTTGGAACCGTTCAAGTAGTTGGATATCTCCGTCTTAAAACTTTCCACCTCCGAAGCGAAGTTCTGGAATAACATATAATTGATGAATCGAATTAATAAGGTATGAATTAAAAGTAATTATGGAAGACAGATATGAAACCTATTAGTAAATTCAATTTCTGTGATTTAATTTATTTTACTACATACAAGTTCTGATCTTCACTGACCTGGTACGAGTATAAGGACTTTTTGGTGTCCAAAGTGCGTTCACGTTCTTTCGAGCAGAGATCTAAATGTGAACGTCTCAGGCAGTCCAACAATGAGTCTTGTTTCGCTGACTGTGGCAACAAAATGCGCATTATTAAATGTACACTTTACTTCATTATTACAACGAAGATAAAATGACAAACTTACCTCATAAAAGCAATCTCTGTAGAGATCTTCCACAACCGACAGACGGTCTTTCAGCGATTTCACTGTTCTCCTATCCACTTCCTAAAATAGGACCCGAAACGTGTTAAATTCGCGTTTGTTTATTTTATCAAGGATAATATGTTAACAAACGAACCTGAGTTTGAGCCGCGATGGACACGTCAGTCGTCTCCACGTTGCTTCCATTTGCCGAGTTTTTGAGATTCTATGAACAGAACTCGATCAATCATAGCAAATAAAAGTAAACCGAATTGTCGAGATCTACGGTCAATGTTTCGAGATGGAAGCTCTTAATGCTGTATCATAGTAAACGTACGGGGCTCGCCTGCAGACCGCGGTGAGTTCTCGTAAGCGTCGCAGGTGGGGTCGCTTTGGCAACGAGCGCGGTTATTCTCTCCTCCGCTAAAGCCAGGCTCTCCGCTTGCACTCGCACCGTCTCTTCTTTGTTCTTTAACTGAAAGCCGATGCAAATCTTTGTTTTAATTGTACTCTTAAATTACGTACAAATTTAGTTATTAGACTCGATGCCGATTAATATTAATGTCCAAACACGCGGAAATATAAATTCCTTTTAAGCTAATGGAAGCTGAGCGCCAATATTTTGAGATCAATCAATACGAAAATAACTTTAAGCGCTCTCGCTAACACTTTAAACGAGGAACTACGATGATAATTTCAAGTTATATTAAGAGCCATTTCGTATTGAGAACTTACAATTTGCAAAGTAGCGAGCAATTTGTCCTGCAAACAACGCGCCCGCTCCGCTTCGGCTCCGCTGTCCGCTACGCTTGGAGGGCCGCTTTTTTCCTAGAAGATCACTTATTTTTATTGATGCCTGGGCATCATAGATCGCTTAAATTTACATAAGTTGGTTGATCATACTTCTGTGCTATCTATTTACTATAGTCATATATATAGTTCGACATAACGCAAATCTAGCAAATGTCATGCGTCATTAAGCCACGAGGGACAATCAAAAGACACACAAGATTCAAGAATTGTATTTAAGTCAAGATAAAATTCAAGGTATTTGAGGTCATCCGATGCTTAGATTATTATTAATTTCTTAAAGTACCTACTTTGAATAAAACAGTTGCTTTAAATATTTTGATATTTAAGTTCATATAAAAAATCTGATACTTCTGTCTAAAAAGTAAATGCTACAACGTTAGAAGCTACAACAATACAAGTATCTAATTAGAAATATAGTTTAATAACGACGAGTTCTTGTCAAAACGGAAACGTTGGTAAACAAATCTGTTAAATGATACTGAACATTGCCTACCGCACGCACGTCACCGTCTTCCCATTCCCCCACTTTGAAATGATCACCGCACTCCGAATCACTGTACGTGAGCAATCCATTGAACATCATCCCGATGGAGCACAAAACGAGAATTATCGAAAATTCATTGATACGCAAACTGCCGCCGCACGCCGTCGCACAGCCACCGTTGTTAAATTTGGACTGTCGTAAATAGGAACTTTAAGGGCGGAAGCGAGATGTGCCCTATTCGTTATCTCACTTTCGAGATGTAGGTTGCGAAGCGCGACGAAGCCGCTGAAGAATCGAATGTAAATAAACTGAAAAATTTATTCCTTCGACACTATTGATTTGACTCGCCAAAGGTTATTATTTTTGCCATATAAGTATATCGACCGATTCCATTACTATAAAGACTTTTTTGTGAGTCATTCTTATTATAAAGAAGATCATTCTTTCGTACCGACATAGTTTTTAGGTATCTCAAACAGTTTTTGAACGCATGCAAAGGAAACCTTCAAAGATGAATAAATTCCCCGTTCTATTCGCATTTACTTCTGCTTCTTAGCTCCTATTGATCGCAACCTGATGTATATACCCTAAAGCCTTTCTAGGTCATTTTAAACTCGAACTAGTAGTTCCCGAGATTAGCGCGTTCAAACAAACAAATGTATAGTATAGATTTATGAAAAAAAAATGCACAAAGAGGGTACAACATTTGTTATTCAAAGTTCTCACACAAAACTCTTTTTATTTTCCCACACATGCCACTATCTACTAATGACGAAGTTGACGAAACCACACCGACACACAACCAAAACGCTACGGCTCCGAACAAATGTCAAAGGGTGTGGCGCCCGACATAGGAAAGCAGCATCCTCAGAACTTACGAATAATGTCAACTGAAACAAGTAGGAAAGTATTTTAAACAACCCGCGACCGAACGAAAAAAAAGTTTATTAGAAAGTAAAGTCGAGTCAATTCATTTAACTTTTAGCCTTTAACTCTAAACCTGGCCCGCCCTTTTTACAGGAGACAAACAAACATGGAGAGTTCACTTAATAGCATGTAAAATAACGCAGCTATATAAGATCTAAACAAGTTGCGTTATTGACCTATTTTGCAGCCGGTGGGGATACAACCTGCGACCCATTGATTACCAGCCGTACGTTGCCCACCGCGGAATTCAAACTCTTTAAACATAAGCTATAACGCATTTTACGGCTGAGCCATAAACAGGACTGTATCAATATTAGATTGTTCTCCCCCTTCCCACTATTTCGGGCTCACGACTTCCGGCCGACTAAGAATATCTTTGTTATGCTAATCGACACACATCAACCGCGAGTCAACACCGAGCTTTTGTCGTGTTGTGTGTGAGTTTGAACCTCGGTGTGTCCACGTTACTTTTACACCACACACGTATTATTTTTCAGTGACTTTAATGGAATATTAACTGATTTAGTTATATAACTACTGTTTTTTAATCGTATGCCTAAATCGATTTATTTCTTTCTTTGAAATTTGATCACCGGTGGTTTCCGACTAGCGCGATAAACGATAGCAAAACCAACTGTTTTATTAATGTAGATGTGTGTATGCATAGATTGGAACTGAAGCCTTGTAACATATAATTACGGCATTATTAAATACTGTCTGTAGTTACGCGAGTAGTACACATTTTTAAAACAGTTTAACGGTTTAAAATACGATATATATTAGTTAAACTTATTTGAAAATTATTTGAACATAAGCGTCTCTCCAAATCTGCGGTAACTCAACACTTGTTTGAAAGGCCTAATCACCGCGTTCGCTTTGACCAGCCAAAAATACTCGCAAAGGAGAGTCGATTTTTTTGAAGATTGTTACGCGAAGCAATCGAAATTATGAAACAAAAATTTTAATGAGGAGAACGGCCTCAAGTTCTCAAACACCTGGGTTCCCATATTAAAAACTTTGGATTCCAAAAAACAGCATACCGGAAACGGGAACCCCGTTAGTCAATTCTGCAACGACCCGGACAGTTTCGTCAAATACCTTCGACAGAACAGGTGGCGCTAGCGTAGCACTTTTTAATTTGATGTCAGAGACACCCTCCATCATTTGTCTCCGAAACGTCGGGCCCTAGTTAAAATAAATTTTCAAATGAATTGAACTAATATATATCGTGTTTTAAACCGTTAAAGTAAATCTAAATACGGTATTATTCTTTATATAATTAATAGTATAGAGGAATCCTAAACAACACCCACGACTTTAGTTACATTTAAGTAGCAAAAAATAATATATTAAAATACATCGGTATATTCGTTTTGATATGAGGCTATATATTTAGACCAGCAGTTTGAGTTAAATAATTACAATACCTACTTGGCGGGCTCCGCTGCAGTGACATCGACAAGTGGTTCCGCTAAACCTAAAAGTAATCTGTACTTTAGACACGACTGTATAAAACAATCTATTGACATGTATGTTACTATTTACCAAGAAATCATTATTGGTAAGTTTAAGTTAAAATGTTCAACTATATTAGAAAGGAATTTTTTGAAAACTTTAATATATTTTTTACATGTTATTGCACATGAAGGCACTATATAATTTAAAAATCGAATATAAATTGAAAAAAATTTCGACTCGGGCAGGACTTGAACCGGCATCGTCAGCGTTCCGTGCCGTTGCTCTACTAATTGAGCTACCGAGTCCTACACCTTATCGTCGAATTTTTTCAACTCATTGATACGTGCACCTCTCGCTCAATGTAATTTTAACGCTTGCGTATTAAGCAAGCGTAAAGGTTGAAATTACATTGCGGAACGCTGACGATGCCGGTTCAAATCCTGCACGACTCGACTGTAAATTAAAAAGGAATCTTCTTAACCTCCTCCTCGATTGGGTTTTTGACACTGACGGGCCCAGAGACGCTAGAAGACTATCACGTAACTCCACTTCGAGTGAGTCGTCCGTTACTAGTAACGGGGGTGACGTCGACTGAAAATATCGAATCAAGATTATCTTAATAAGAATAAGGAAAGCGTCTGGACAATGCCATTATTGTGGTTCATTCTAAGGAAGATGGGATGTCGCTTGGTACGTTCGAAAATCTATAGATTCAAAATAACAACTCCTTATGGCTTTTCCATCTTTGTACATAGGTTTGTGATCCAAGCAGAATTTCCTTCCTACCACCCATTTCATATTAAAATTTTCCAGACAGTCAACAATGTTTCATAAAAGTAGATAGATTGCAATCTACGCCACGATCCGTGGTTGGACCATCGAGCGCGTCCAACTAGAAACGTCTCTCCCACAATCCCCAAAGAATAAAAAAGGCACAAATACAAACCCTTTCAACGATAGATAAGTCGCTGTTGTTCATGGAGGCCATTTCACGTTTGAGGCTGGTGTTAGGCGTAGAAGTGACCACCCCCACCTGGACGAAAGAAGAACTAGATAAAAAAAATATGTAAAAACAAAACAAATATAGGTCCAAACACACTGTATCACTTACCGAGGTTTACTAATTTATTTAAATTTGCTATTTCTTTCGCCATTGTTTAAGGCAAAGATTTTTGCATGAACATGGTCGGCTGGATGAGAAGAACAGTTTATAAATAATAATTTCTAGTAATATGACAGTCTTCAATCCGCGGTAAGTTTGAGTTGTTTGGTCTATGTTGTGTTCTGTTTAACGCGATTGAAATAGAAATTAATATAATACTCATTAACGCTCTAACGCTAATTTTAACTATCTGACACAACACACAGCACACTCGAAATAAATATCGTCATCATAATACACTTTTACTCAACTGTATTTATTCAAACGCGAGTACAAACATAAATCTCATCTACCTAACAATGAATTAGAACCAAAGGTTAATACTATATTCCAAAAACATTTATTATATATTGTCAATTATATATCTACTGTCCTTTAAAGGAACCATCGTCCCCGGAGCCGTCAAAGTTCTGGCAGATCCAGTCGGTGTTCATGTCCAGATCTGGTAATTCCCTCCGCTTCCTTCGAGGCTGCTGGCTCACGCACAACGACTCATATGACCGAGCCCCGCTTTGGGCGTCGAAGTTACTCTTGTCCCCTAATCCTTCTTTTAACTGTATAAAGAGAAAACCAATGGAAATTAACTTTAACAAGATATAAAAAAAAACCTTTACTCATAATAATAATTGAGTACACTTAGATCAAATAAAGTGCAAATCGACCAACTTTAGCCTTAGCTTTGCGGAGCTGTCTCCGCATCTCCCTGATGATCTCCTCCTTAAACTGCGACCGCAAGGCGGAGACGCGGCACTGCTCGTCCAGAGCTGCGCAGACGCGGTGCAGCGCGTGCACCTCATCCGTCAAGGAAACATTCATTTCGCGAAGCGCGCGCACGCTATCGCCGCTCGACTGTCGACAATACGTTCCGAACTTTCGTTATTAAAAGTAGCAAATTCTACTTAGCCCCTGTGCATTTTTTAATATATTTAAAAATGTTTGTTATTGAATTAATTACACCGACCAATATTTCACTAAGTGACAAAACAGTAAAATACAAAATTATTCAAGACTACAAAATGTTCCTGCCTTCATGCTGACCTCCATGTGCTGGATCTGTTCGTGGTACCGCACTGCGTCGCTCAACAATCCACCGAACTCCTTAACCGGCTCTGCGTCACCGCACTGTCATCAAATTACTATAATTGACACCTTAGGCGAGTTTTAAAGAATCTATAAACTTTTAAAAGGGGTTGTTGGGAGTCAATATGTTTGGACCAGTATAAAATACGATAAAATACCTCTTTGCTTCCAGATAAGCATACATCGGTCATCACCGCTACGTCCTTTCCGCTGACGTTTCTGAAATCGTTTTATTTATTTATTTAGTCTTCATCGTCACCTTTATTTTGAGTGTCGAGGGTAGTTTATTACGCAGATATTCTTATGCAAATTATTCATTACTTTCGTTTTGAAGGGTAAATCATAAATTACTAGAATTAAAAAAAAATACGTCGTAAAAAAAAGTAATTACGTCGTGTGATAGTCATTCCTTGACACCTCTTTCTTCAAATTGGCTAGCGAGTGTTCATATTGTTGCAGATCTTTGTTTAATTTCCGGATTTCCCTGCAACGAAATGCATATAGCTATACTTACCGTCTTCAATTCATATTTTTATAAGGTTTGGCTTCTAGATAAAATACGATTTAACATCTAGAAAATGAACATGACTACACCCCGATCTCACCTTTCCTTACTGAGGTTGTCCTTTTGTAATATATCTATTCTTTGTTTCAGCTCGTCGACGTGGTCATAGCCTTTGTTACTCCTTTCGTTCTGTGAAACAAAAGACATATATAATCAATCCTATTTCTATCTATACTAATATATAAAGCTGAAGAGTTTGTTTGTTTGTGTTAATATAAAATTGCAAACATTATGACATTTGCGGCCAACACATAACGTCTACATTAAACAGGTTTTTTTTTTAATAAAGGTGAGTGGTTTGAATCAACCGATTACATTCCATCAAAGAAAACACAAAAAGAACAGTATAAGTATAATAAAGAATATCAAAACAATAAAAACAAACGCATTAAAAGAACATAAAATTTTTCGATTTATTCTTTTGCTTCTCTTTACCTCCCCGCGAGTCGCCCCGCTCCAATGTAGGCGTCCTGAAATAAAGACGTAATCAACAAAGGCTCGATTCTGAGGTATCTGAGAAATGAGAAAACAACCACTGGATAGGCGGTAACTTTAATATATAAATATAGGTGCTTAGGACTCGACTCGTCGATCAGGGCACACCTCCAATTAATACCACCAACCAGGTGACGGGTCCGAAAATGTCCGACTGCGTGACCTCGTTGAAGTGAATGTTGTCGATGGCGCAGTAGTCCTGCTCCCTCAGGCGACGCAGCAGTTCCAGGAGTCCGCGTAAATCAGAGTCCTTGCGCGCCAGGCGGCGACGCAACGTCGACACTTCGACGCGCATTTCTGCCACCATCTACGCGAACACGTGCGTCAAGGGGTGTATACTACAGAAAACGTTTTACCCGAAATCGAATTACGCGACAACTTATCACTGCCATCCGTCTCTACGCTATACGAGTAGATCTTGGAAATAACATTTTCATGACCATTGCACACGTTACACGTAAAGTTGTAATTTAAGCAATCTAATTTATTTTATTCTCTTCCATTTTAAATATTAAACGTGTCTACCTCCGCATAAATTGGAGTTATCCGTCATTAATCTCAATTTATTTATATGTGGATAAAATGATTACCATTTATTTTGAACTGATTAAGATTTCCAAAATTTAATATATAACAAAGGTGTTAGCAAGGGTGTAGCAACACCTTCACGATTACAGGTAACGTCTGGCATCAAAGGCCGCGGCCCGTCACTAATTAAAATGTATTTGATGATTTAGAGAGCAGATAATTAGCACCTCGGAGTATTTCCGCCTCTCGCTGAGGATGCGGGAAGTGAGTTCGATTTCCAGGTCCTCTACAGTTCTAGCGAGGAGACCGTTTTGCGCCACCAGATCGCCTACCCACGACTGAAATAATTCCACTTGTTTCTGAAAATACAACGAACGTTTTCGTACGTATCTTGTGATATTGAAAAAAGATATTTAAGGGGCAATACATTCCATACAAAAATTCCATGCTAGAGCTAAAATAATAAAAAGTATTTAAATAAAAACTTTAACGGTTAAAACGATATATTGTTAAACTATTTAAAATATTTGAAACACAAATATCAATTACGAAGGGTAAAGTTAAAGTGTTTTATTTAAATGTGTACTACTCCGTAAACTATAGACAGTATTTAAAAAAGGTATTTTGTAAGATGTGCATAGTCAACGATAATGTACCTGTAGTTTCTGTGAGCCGGCCGTCCGGTTTATAACGTCCATCCTCTCTTCATAGGCCCTGTGCACATCGTTGAGCACTCCCAACGTCGGGCCAGTCTCGCAAGCGCAGGCTCTCCCCGCATCACTCTCTATTACGTTCGAATCCATAAATATTAGTAAAAAATAAAATTAAACGTACGACATTGCTTACGTGTAAGACATTCTGACAACGGGTCTGTCACCGAACGTTTTAATCGCAATTAAAAAAGAAACATCAATTCGCAACCGCTATGACAACCTTTCTTCTAAACTTTCATTTGCAGAACAATATTAAGCAAGTAGATTTTTTGTCAGCTTATTTCCGAAAATTTGACAATTACAATTGTTATTTACAGTTCGTATCGCAAAAACAGAATGCTGCAAACACTCTTTCAAGAATACAGCTTACCGAATTCAACGCTCTACGTACCCCCGTCCTGGCTGCCCTGTCCTGTCCAGAGAGTTGAGATTAAGGGGCCCACGAGACAATAAAATTATATTCCAAAGTAAGAGAGGACCGGGTACACTGACTGAACAACGTGTCTCTAACGTACTTACCTCGCGAAAGAGAAATTATTCAGAGTCGTGAACATTACTATTTCCAATCGCGAACCACGATCACTCAACTACCCTCGAAACGGAAAATATATGACGAAGCGTTGTCGGATGGCGCGATAGTCGACATAAACGTCTTTTCGTACCGTACAAAAGACGATTTAAATGGTCTAAAATGATTTATAAGGTAATGTGCAACTAGATTGGATCGATCCAATTGTGTCCGACCACCCGATAACCCTACCCCGACGTTACTTTAAATATAATAAATTATCAAGAACCGTCTTTCATCTCACAATGACAGTTTGTCAACAGAATGAACGTCATGTGCGCTAGCGTCGTGTTGTCTTTCTCGAACCAATACGACTCTCCGCTTGCTTCTCGAGTAGAGTCACGTTTTCCAATGAATTACGTGCGCGATTGTATAGATCCGCAACTATATTCGTTCAGCGCTAAACATCCGTGCCGCGACCTATACTAACGTAAAACTAGTAACGCAATAATAATAGGTCGCTAGACAGAAATATGATTAGAAAAAATAAAACCAACATATTATGATTAAAAAATTTATTTACTACATTTGGCTAATATTTTGTACCTATACGCGTGTTTGACACAACATACACTTATAATCCTTAAAGTATAAATGACATAGTCTATATTACCTTTGTGCAGAGGGTAAATCTCTTCGACTAATAATGGTTAATGACCTCAACGAGCCCGTCCTTCCGTCCTGAAGTCACATTTTGGACTTCTGACGTCCGAGGAGCTCGAGACATTTTGATAAATGACAATGCTCTTTATTAGTGGAGACTTCTGGAGTCAATAGGATTATTATAAAAGTTATATAAAGCAAATAAAACATACCTAAGAAGCGTTGTCTATAAATATCCAAAATGCATTAATAATTTCACAAAACTCTCTTGGCAACGTACTCGAGATTACTTATTGGATAAGCCTAGGTTTTAGACTAAAAAATGTGTTACACGAAGGAAGATATAGAAAAGAAGTTGTTTTGAGACATTAAGCTTAAATATGCGAGTACCTGAACGCACTTTGTGCTTTAACCGAGCATGATATGTAAATATAGTGTAACTGTACATCAGTTGAACATAGAAGTCAAAAAGTAACATTTAATATTACCCCTAATAACACCGGGCGACTTAGAACATACAACAAGGGTCACTCGATTCTAGGAATCACTTCTTTCCCGGATGATTCTGGTGATATCATTCTCATCTAATGCCTCCTTTAAAATAGACGTAGACAAAATAGTTACAGCACTGCAGTCAAAGTCCTAGTAGCAATAGCCTCTACTACTAACTTAGAATATTTTGTAAATATTTACAAAGTCGACCAGGGCTACTCTTGGAACAGTTGAAAATAATTTGTGCTCTTCGAGCAACGAGGATAAACCGTTCGCAGCGTTTTACTCTGTCGAGGTACAAGTACAAAGGTACCACAGGACATAAGATAACTCAAAAGCTACTCCCCCAAAACTGTAAAGCTGGGCTGTTACTGTTGTAAAATGACATTTCCATATTTTCAAACTTAATGACATCATTGTGATAAATATTCATTCATCTTTTATTCCTCCCACCTTTTTCAATGATCAACGTTAATAGTGTATTATAAAGTATGGTATGCATTTTTTTCTCTTTTCAGTGCGTTTGTATCATCAATTACATTCGTGTGTTTTCGGGGGATTTTATGAACAATGAACGCAAAGGCCCTTCCGTGTCGCTCGAAGATGAAGGTCGAACATGAAACATTTTAAAATTTCTTTCAAATAGAAATTAATGGCAGTCGAGAATAGCCCAGTCACTGCAACGAGCTTAAGCAAATAGGACGCTTTTGTCTAGATCCTAATATCGTGTTGACTGTGACAGATGTATAAAGTTTTACTTACAAGCTAATAAATTGAACTAAAAACCTCATGGTCATCAAATATCTGAAAAGAATAAGTCTTTTTAGAGGGGCTACTACAATGGGCGCCAATTCCAACGCGATATACTACATCACTAACAAAGAACTATATTTGCAACGAATGTCGATTAGCTCTTTTGTGATATATTTTTAGTATAATATTCAGTAACTTACACACACCCACTCAGTACAGTGCCTTTAGCTGCTCGTATGTGAGGAAGAAGATAATATTCCAGGGGCCCATGCGCAACCACGTGGGCACGAAGCCCTTGTACAGTGCGCGTGCCCCTTCATTGCGTACAGTCTGTAATTTTCATTCCCTATAAAACAACGGTACATAATGGCTACCCCCTTCCCAGTAACCTTGTTTCGATATCAAATAGCAATGTGTATCGTAGTTTGTTTTAAAATAATACAGATTGATTATATCGCATTGGGCGTGTTCATTAATGGGCTGGTAAATGAAGATAATAATGGATAGAATACCTGTACAAAACAATCAATCGTCCCTCTGTAGATCCTCACGTTTGCCTCGTTCACTTTTCTTTGGTTCATTAGTCTAGTCTGAAATCCAAAATTTAAACTTATTAAAATCTAATATTAAAAAATACTTCATATTTATCGTACAGTGTATTAGTGTCGAGTGAAAGGGGAACTGTGTTAACTTTAATTTATTTCTTATTCTACGTACCCTGACGACATCTAGCGGAGTGCTGGCCACAGCGCTTCCGAGACTGGCCAAAAGACTGGACACGAAGTGGTTGAGGGGCTTGTCCCCCAGGGGCACCGTCAGCCGTCTCTTGCACGCATCGTAGACGGGCAGCTCGACGGCCGCTATCAACGCAGCCCGCTGCGAGGTGGGCGTAACCCCGCGCCACAGACCGGCCACGCCTTCTACGCGGTATATGTCGATGAAACATCGCACTATGTTTCGCTTTTCATCACCGACCTGAAAATATGAGATGTGTATGATAAAATCAATTTAGAAGAATCTTTTCATAGTTGTGATCTATTTCAAGTGTAATCTCTATGATTTACTAATTCTTTAAGCTGATACCCATCGTCTTATGAAAGGACACTGACCTGTCCTACGTTAGTATAGTCTGTGTGCCAACAAAGATCACACTGGCAGATGTAACACTCACTTGCATCCTAACTTTAAGCACATCGGTGGGATTAGCGATGGCGCTGGACAGGCCACCAGCGAACGCGGCGCAAAATGTATTCGTAGCTAAGTGCTCCTTAGCTCCTCCATCTGCTCGCCTCGCCGCTAGCGCTTTCTTTAGTGAATAGTATGTCCCGAACTTGATTGTGCCATAAGTCGCTTGCCTGAGAACCGCCGGCCATATTCTGGAAGGTAATTCTATAAAATTAAATTACATTCTTTCTTTACCGATCAAAAGATATCAAAATAAATTGATGCTTATAAAAATGATTAAGCCATTATTGTTGGGTATCAATAAAATTCTTAGGTTTTTAGTGATTTCATACATCCCGAAAATAAGAAAATAACATAAAATGATTATAACTTTTGACTTAGTAGTTAGTAGTTTAGTTTACACAAGTAGTACACATTTTAATAAAACACTTTTGTTTTCAATGTCTTATAAGTTCAAAAAGGTCACTGACTTCTTAAAAACCTTGTCATAGTTGTATATTTGTGACATCACCTGCTATATAGGTTACTACAGGATAATTAATATCCAACCATGATACTATGTATCTAACAAAAAGTATTTAAGGTTTTTGACTTAGTGTTGAATATATTTGCACTAAGGGGCAGGAATGCTGTAGCTCCACGCTATTCTGACATAGTAATTGTCTAGATTTTGTTAAAATAAACCTCACAATGCTATTAACTGTTTTAAAGGATAAAACATTAAGAATTTTGTTGTAAAAATATGTATTAAATATAAAAAAAGTAAATGTGACCTTGGTAGTTTTACAGTAAAAAGTTTTTTATAGGAAAGAACAATGTCATGGCAGTTCTTACATTATAAAGTGAGTAATTAACTTGAAGCAAACCATAATGAGCATGTAACACATGTTATTCACATAGCACATTAGTTTACTAACCCACAATACAGCGCCTTTACACCCTCCTGTTTAGATGTCTTAACAAAGCAATCCACCATCCCTGTGTACCGCAACTCCACATGGCGAGGGTCTATCTTCTGACCTTGGATCTGAAGCCGGGTTTTTGTTGTATCTATTGGGAAAGTACCTGGAAATTAGACAATAATAATAATAATATTAATTATTAAGATCCTAATAAATTTCTTCAAATAATAATTGCAAAGCATTATAACGATTTAAGCCAATTATTTCTTTATCTTTTCTTTATTACTGAGATTTGCTTTACCAATATTCACCAATAAAGCTTATAGATGTATTGTAGTAGTTTAAGATGACAGAAATAGTTTTGGCACATAAGCACATGTGTTGGGGTAATTCAAACTACCATATCTAAATAGTATTCAAGGGAGTGCATGCAATATTAACAATTTAAAATAAGCTTTGGAGTTTACTTATTTCAAATTATATAATATTCTTACAACTATTTAACTACCCACATGGTCAGAATAAAATTAGTAGTAATAAAAGGAATGTTTCTAGATAATAATTAAACCATAAAGATATTAATTCTTATTGGATGTCGTCAAGACAAATTGAAAGGGTGGGAATATTTCAAACTCGGAATATAAGTGATAAAACGTACCAAATTCTGCTACAATAGACGCAAGGCCGCCATAAATAAACGGTCTCCAATCTCTTTCTCCCATTACATGCAAAAATAAATCTTTTAAACGAACTACAAATATTTTTATGGTGTAAAACCAGAAACACTTATTACGAAATGTAATAGTTACACCAAAATTAAGGCAAGTTGCAACTATAGTTACAATGTAAACAATTGGAAGATTATTTTAAATACACTTTTTTTACAAGTTTTACAATATTACTACATCGCAGTAGGACTCTAGTAACAGAAAGAGAGTTACTATTACTGAAATTTCCCCCTTTGTATTTTTAAATCAATTATTGCCGAGACCCGCAAGAGCAACAGGAAATCGTGAAAACTACTTCATTTTCACTTTGAGTTTTGAGCGTCAGTGTCAAATTGTGTCATGTGTCAACATTTAGCAATTTATGAATTACTTATCTATGGTAAGTTCTACCACAGCAAAAAACTGTAAACAGTAAATGATAGCTGTCAAGTAAAATGACTGAATGGGATAGAATAAAAATAATAAAATGAATTTAAAGGCAAATATGCACATATCAAACCGTAAAAATTTAAGGAAAAGTCTGAGATAAATCTGAAAGAGCACTGTATTAGTACTTCGATATAAGGTGGCGTCAAAAAAGAATGTGGTGTATAGCCTATTTTGGTTATTAGCTGAATTTTCAAGCGGAATCTTTGCTGCGCAGGTTTTTCTTGTAATATGTCCATATGAATCAAAAGAACATAAAGATAACTAAATGGTAGACACGTATAGATAGAGCAGAGTTACATTTTGTTTCAGATAAAAGAGGTTTTTAATTTAATTTGTTAAATCAACAAATAGGAAACCCAACATGTTTGATCATTTTGCTCAAGGCCAGCCTACTGCACCTCCACCTCCTCCACCAAAAAAGGAACTCAAATTTGATAAAGGATATGTTAAAACCACACCTGGTATTCTGAAAATTGTTGAAGTGGTAAGAATAAACTATAATCTTAAAGGCAACATTTAACACCATGAAAATGATAATGTTTGATACAGGGGTCTGTATGTAAGATTTTTTCTAAAAAGGAATATACGATTTTACAAAGAAGTCCAGTTAATTTTGAAATCCATAATAACTTAACATAGGTTTTATTCAATGCTACATGTTTCAGGTATGTAACCTTATTGGGTTCATATGCATCAAAGTATCATGGTCATGGATATCGGCTATATTTTATAATATCCTGTATTGGATCGGCAATATAATAACAATATTCCTGTTTCTCATGTACTTGTTTCACTTTGTTGAGAAGTATGACAATCTCCCGTGGCAAAAGTTACAATTTCTTTATTGTTCTGCGATGAGTTTGGCTTATATTGGCACATCTATATTTGCTACTACCATAGGGGAGAGTGTTGGCTATGCAGTTGGGGTAAGTATATCATCTTGTATGAAGATCCAATAAAACTTGCTCAATGTGCTTAAAACTGAGACCACTTAAGTCAATATTAGAATGATAATGTGCATGGCAAATAAGTATAAATTACCAAGTGTTACTACTGTTATTTTTTAAATTAATTTGTACAGTATAAAACTCAACTCCTAGGCCTAGAGACTTTGGAGAACTGGATGGAATACAATATTTTACTTCTCTTTTTAGTTCTTTGGCCTCTGCGCTATTGTGACTTATGCAATCGATGCATACATGAACTACAAAGCCTGGAAACGAGGGTTGCCAGCACAATGATTTTAGGATATAAGAAGCCTATAGCAGGTAGACGTAAGCATATCCTGTATTTACATAGTTACACAAGTGGAAAATCATGTTATAAGATCAATCAAGGTGTATAGACTAATGACAATAATATTCTTTTACAATTTATGAGTGAGTAATGGTGAGTTTACCGCAGAAGATGTTTTTTCAATACACATATTCTACAATGTACAACAAGCACAAAGAATACAGATTTACATGGATGGAGCATTACTTCTAGATGTGTGCAGCTATCTTATTTGTTATATATTTTACACAAATCACAAAAAGCAAAAGAAGTGTTAACAGCATTCTAGTTTTACCGACAGAATAATTCCAGGTTAAAATATAAGACTGATGGTTATAGGCTAAATACAGCAGATTATGAATCATATTGTAAGTGCGACTTGCAAATAATTTAAACATATTGCAGTTTACGAGTACTTAAACTTACTAAGATATTTTAAAAGTATTTTTACATAATAATTTGATAAATTGTATACATATATTTACTATAAATATTTTTAAAAATTTCTAAATCCCACCCACCTCAAGAACATTGTGCCTTCAATTCTGTGAAAATATGTGTCATCTACAAAATGTTGGATAAAGATTACTTTTCAATTGTATGCATTTATTCTTGACAAATCAATAAGTATTAAAAAGTACTTTTTTTTAATATAACTTGTATAATATTTCCACGTGCATGAAACTATAGTAATAAGGTAATTTTAACAATGTTATATATTTTTGCTAAGTAAAACATTAGTTAATAAGATACAAACTTTTGTATTATCTAAATGAGTGAGATTCTGTGCCTTCTTGTAAAATTATAATTACACATGTCGACCAAATAGATCTATAATCACGTTAATGTTCGCAGTATGCAACACTGTGCCTGTTATGTCAATAAAATTGTCATGTATAATTCAATGAATTTTATTTACAATAAATAAGTTTGACTTGTTGTACAAGTCTTTGTACTGAGCCTTATGGTATATTGTTTTATTGCTTATATCAAAATTTATGAGTTCAATTTAAGGTAAAGCTAAACGCGAAAATTGACTGAACACCACGTCGTCAAAAACCATTACCTACAATAGTGAACGACAGTAAAATGAGTAATTTATGGTATGAAAATACGGATTGTTAAATTGAAAAAAAAAGAGCGAGAGCGGAACGGGTAACAATTGGACCGTCACAAGGGATTTTGAGAACTGTATAAACAAAAAAAATTGTGATGTTTTTAACATAGTAACCAAAGGCAGACTAGAAAAAATGCCTTTATATTTGATATCAGTGCTCTTATAATATAGTTATAGTATTTAAATCGAGAGCTTTAGCACGATCTCCGAAAAAATACAACTTTTTTTTACAAAGCTATAAATATCTTAAAAATTTAGAACTTTTTTGATATTGTACAATATATTAAGCGTAATAGAAACATTTGACACAAGCGTGAGCAGAGGACGGAGTTAAATAGGTAAGATAAGATATCTAAAGAAACACTTGAATCTGTTTAAAACGGGCCGTAATACAGGGGGCACGGCTGCAGCAACACACCCGAAATGTCGGGTCGAAATTAAAATAAATGAACTAATATATTTTAAACCGTTAGAAATGTTTCGTTTAAATATGTACTACTCGCATAAGCTACGGATAACGTAAGGTCTTTTAACACACTGAAATCAAAGTATGTTATTGACATAGCTATCTTAAGAGATGAGCAGGACTACAACCCGAACGCCTGCGGTTTAAATTCCTTGTTAACACGCAATCGGGATTGGCCCTGCTTGGCAATTTATTTTATGTTCATTATAATACAAAGGAATTTTTAAACATTCATTAACATTACTTTTGACAACTGATGGCGTTGATATCAATGTGTATAAGAGATCTACAAAGTTAAATATTATCTTATAATTACTATCCGTATCCACTGATTATTTACAAACATAAAACTAATCTTTGTTTATTTGTATCATTAAGTTTAAAAAGTAACGTTCTTAAATGTTATCAAGAGAGAAATAACATTAGCCTCAGAAACCACCTTGAAATATTCATTAACATTTAAAATTACTCTTCACGATAAATACACAAATGTAGACAACAGTGTAATAGAGAAAATAGGCGGATAGTGAAAATGTAGTCTAAAATGCCCATATATTGTAATAAAACGCATTACCAACTTGGAATTATGGTACCTATGAAGAACAATAACACAGTAATCTTAAAAGTTATTAATAAATTATAAGACTTATGAAAAAAAGCGCTTGACATTCCAAAATAATACCTGATTCATACAAGGTAGGAATATCTTAAACTAAAGAATATCACGAACTTGTATTGTATTACACATTATTCTTTTGAGGAAAAATAGCAGAGTATTTGTGTGAAGATAGAATTCACAATCGACAAATTAATAATTTCGTAGAATACAAGAATTATAGGAAAATAGCCTATCAATACACTTTATCCTGTTGCTATGGTAACGCAGGGGGTGTGGTGACGTGGGTCTGTTTGGTTACGACGCGACTGCCCTGCGCGAGATCACCTCGTTTTATCGCTTGGAATTTTGTGAACGCCTCGTAACCGTACACCACCATCGCCAAGTAGCCAAAGAACTGAAAAGAAATGCGCATATAGCATTGTAAACATTAAAAAGTATCATTATAGGTAGTTTTATATAATTAAACTGTTGAAACAATTTGATATGATAAAGTCATAGTAAAGTGTGGTAATCCTGGGTTTTTTTTATCTTTGGTTCTATATTTTGTTGAGAAATGATACATGAAAATGGTAGAACCTTCGTGGATGTTGCTATTTTATACAAAAATTTCCCCTGTGATCGTGGGTTTGGATTCCAGGCAAACCGGTATCAATCAAGGCAATAATGTAGATTGTACAGTAAAACTAGGACCTAAGAAAGGGGAGCAGGGGTAACAAAGTGTTTAAATTTAATTAAACTAGTTAATTGACTATATCCGCCCTTTGTAAGTAAATTGCCATTTGCCACACATCCTGCAATGCAGTGAGTACACTTCTATCAAATGGGCAATTGTTTCACTGTGTACTTTGACAAAAATTTTAACATAGTGTATTGAACCTAGCTATACATTTTATATTTTGACTGTGTTTATTTTTGGCTCTGTTGATTATTATTTAAATTTCCTCTGATTTGCGATTAAGAAGCCCTTCAACTTTATAAAAAACAATAATTGATCTTACTAAAATCGTTACCCCTTACCGTAAAGCATTATACTCTTTTAAAAATATGTATAATATAACGACTACTAGTCACGATATAAGACATGCAATAATGCGAAATTGCATATAAATAAACATTTATTAAAATGTTTGTTGGCATAAATTATTTCTTTGTGACAAATTTATGTGTCTGCTTTATGGATTTAATTATAGTTTTAAAACTAAGATGTTTGTTATAAAGTTTTAGTTGACTTTGATTGTAAGACTTAAAAGATTTTCCCCATATGAATAAGAACTTACTATTGTATGACAAATAAATGTACTACAAGAAATTATTCAAAACAATTCTATAATTACCTACTTTTCTTATCCAAACCGAGTTGGACACAAGTATATAATTATAATGTTAATCATTCACAGACTGAGTCACTACTTGAAGGATTCAAACAATGCATACATAACAAGTTGACCTTGATTATATTTTAATAGCTTATCACACACTGAGGTCATTTGCAGCTTGATTTATGGTGATGGTAGTTTCACATTTAGAAGAAAAATAATGTCCCTGCTAAATCAATAATTAAAATATCAAAGCATCACTGAAAATCAAGAAACTTTACTCACCCCACCAGCAGAATAAGCGGCCGACCCAAATGCAACAACAATAGTGGATGCAATTAGGTAAAGAAATGTCACAATTGCACATCCAATCATCTCTATCTGAAGCCACTTGACATTATGATACTTTTCGATCAAATGGAAGATGTACAATAGGAGTAGTATAACAGAGAACCAAAGGCCTAAGTGCGCAGTTACATTAAAGTAGACACCTCTCCAGTTTGACCAGAATGATGAAGATTGTACACATATAAAACCTAGCAAATCCAGGATCTAAAACAGTCAAATGAACCATTAACTTTTTATAAATTTTTTCACACTAACCTCAAGTAAGGTATACTCACAATTTCAACTAATTTTATGATTCCTTCCTTGGTTTTCACATAAGAAGTGTCAAGTCTAGTTTGCGTGTTGAATACAACATTTGATGATCCCATTGACTGTGTATTTGCTTGAAATGCCATTTTAGGGCCTGAAAGTAGGCACAAGTTTAAGTAAGTATCACAATAAAGATTATAATTTCATATTACTGAACCCTAGAACAATATGTATTTACAAACTACATCTGCCTTTTTTAACTTATATATTTAAAAAATCATTTCCTTAAAGCTTAAAAAGGATAACAACAGATCAGAGATAACAACCTACCTTGATCTTAAAACTGTGTCATTCAACAGACATAACTTATTGAGCAAACATTATTTGGCAACATAAATAGCCACACTGATAACTGATAAGCGTACAAACGTCTCCCTGGCACTAAATCACCAACCGATATTACGTTATTACAAACATGACTCATTTAATAAAATAGAACTTAGTAAAATAACTCATTCGCTGATTTATCGATTTAAGGTCTCATTCAAATAAGACGGACATAAAAGAATTAACATAATTAAACAATGATTTTAAAATAAAATTAACACAAGTAAAACATATTTCTTTTTTCTAATACATTTCATTCGCTCAAAATGCACGCACTACTGAATTGTTGTAAAAAATTGTACACGTTATTACTAAATAAAACAAAGCGGTTTCATTAAATAAACATTACTTAAATTTAAATATTTACGACCTAATAAAACTCATAAAAGTCGTATATAAGTTACAACAAAAATATTGTTAATTCTGCTACCACAGATGTTATGCGCGTTGTTATCATTTTACAGACTATGCTACGTAACAAAAGTAAGAAAATTGTAAAGCAGTTAAAATACGAAGTAATAATTTTAGTACACACACATACATATATTTTTTACTATTATTATCCAATTCATTCAAACGTTCATTAAGAAATGTGTTCTTAAGATTTAATGCAACATCCTACTGAGATATACAAATTCATAAGCTGACTTGCTTGTGAATTTTAGAGTTAGATATTATATTCATTGATATTAAACATTTACAACAATGTAGAATCTGATAAACAGGAAACAATAACAAAGAAGTCTATGCCCTATGGCAGTCTACGCAAACAGATTCCAAATATGAATGTTGACATTGACAGAGGGGAGAAATTCGAATTTCGTTGATAACTTTGCTGGTACCGAAATCCACTTTGCGAGGTATATTATATTTTTATTAACCCATTATAACACTAAAAATTATTTTTGTAAAAACAACCAAACTCAATTATAAGTAACATTTAAAATTGTGAAAAGTTAAATAGTTGAGGTCGATATCGAGTGGAATAAATTGTATATGAAAGTTTGGATTTGAAATTCCATAATTTCTATATTTATGAGGCTAGAGCGTGATTGTTGCTCAACTTCATATTCCTATTTTAGGTGATGACTAGTGACGAAAGAAATATATTTGTATGAATATTTAGTTGCAGGAAATGTTTAATGTAGTTGGTTTTTTACAATTATCGGTATAAATAGTTTAAAAATCGAAAATAAATTGAAAAAATTTTTCGACTCGGGCAGGACTTGAACCGGCATCGTCAGCTTTCCGTGCTGTTGCTCTACCAATTGAGCTACCGAGTCCTACACCTCATCGTCGAATTTTTTCAACTATTGATACATGCACCTCTCCCAATGTAATTTCTACCTTAACACTTGCGTATTAAGGCTCAATGTCTTATGCTTTGCAGCTAAGAAATCATTGAAGATGAAATTACAAAGTTATAACGTTTTTTTTTTTTTTTTTTTTTCAATTTATTTTCGATTTTAAATAATATGCCTTCATGTGCAATAACATGTGAAAAATATTAATGTTTTCAAAAGGTATAAATAGTTCCAAACGGTCACTAAATCGTTTATTTACAAAATACATATATTACTAAAATAAAATAATACTTTTGTGACAATGTAAGGCCAAGTTATTAATGGAAAATTAAATTTTTTAACTTTTAAATGAGTCATTGGTATACTGTTGTAATTTTTGGCTTATCAAAATTAATAGAGATTATAGTGGGCGGTTCTGATAATATTGACAAGATTTTACAGTCTTATCAATTATTAAAATTATTGTTGGAATTTCAATGTGTTTTTAATGTTGTACAAGTCTCATTACAAAAGATTTTATTTTTACATTTAAATTAGTCTGAAACACTTTTCAGTGGTTTTATAAATACATAAAACACCTGACACAAGTTTAATAAAAGGGGGAACTAAGGTCCTAAGACACTCTAAAAATGGCCGACACTGGATTCCCTGGTCAGCACTCTACGACCACAACTGTCACTTCAAGCACCACAGTCAATACAAGGATAAGATTTGACAAAGCATATTTAACAACTGTGCCTGGACTACTCAAGATAGTACAAGTTGTAAGTATGCTTGGTATTCATTTATCCTTATTATTAAAGAAATCAAATTACTACTGACTACTATGAATACATACAATATTATAGATTCTTCTCCAAAAGTGTTCTTATTTATATTCAATTATTTAATTTTCAAGTATCGCTGTATGTTTAGTTTTTTTTTATTGTCTCTTACAATTAATACTCAAAAATCCTATTGTTTTATGCATTACAATATGGATAACCAAAATTAAATATTCAATGTCCCATTATTGCCAACTTGTAGATGTACCAATGAGTGGTAACAATTATTATGCTGGTGTGGCATTGGTTTTCAGGTGAACCCAATAATAAAAAAAGTTTATCAATTAAACATTTTATTTGCAATAGGTATTTCAAGTAACTTGCAACGAATAGTTATTCGCAGTATACCAAACCAATATTCGGCGAGACCCTGACCGAAAGTCGAATAGGCAAAAGTATTCGGCTGGATTTTTGCTCCAAAAACTTGTACAGACGTAATTGTTTGGCGCTCCTTTGTTTTGTTCTAACGTACTCGTATTATTATGTACCAATAAGATTATAACAGAAATAAAAATAAATATATACGTAACAATGATTTTAATTTTTCATACCAATATTTTCTATGAAAAAATTATTTAAGTATTCGTTATTCGGCCGAATATGTAGATATTCGGTATTCGACCGAAAAAAAGCAGCCGAATAGGCCGAATACCGAATATAACCGAAATTCGTTGCAAGTCTAATTTCAAGTTTATTCAAAGTGAATGTAAGGGATTGAAAGTGATAATATTATACTTCATTGTTTATAAACATTTATCCCGTCTTCACCTAAAACCAAAACTTACAATTTAAAATTACATAATATCATTTAAATCATTAATACCATTTTAGAAATACATTTTGGTGTACTTTTCTTTCAGCAATGTTGAATTGTTAATTTTTTTTTATCAAGAACCTAAGATAAAATAGTTCACTTAGGCTGGGCACTAGTATGACTTAGTACTACATTACCTATTTATAAAATTGATTTATCCCATATGAGAACTGGATTGTAGGGTTGCCTTAGTAAAATTGACAGTTTTTCAGTGGTTTTCTACCTAAATGTATTTGTTTACTATAAGCATTAGGTGTAGTGTTTATACAGACCATAAGGCTCTCATGCCAGTTGATGTGGCTTGTGCGATCACGCTACCGGCTTGCACATTGCCTACGGCGGACATGGCTCCTGCTGCCACGCTGCCCGCGGCCACCCCGACAGCTGTGAAACCCAGTTTTCCCAATATCCATAAACATTTCCCAGTCTTCAAGACTATCCATCCGATGACGTTCACGAAAACGAGAGCACAGTTTCCCATTTTGTTATAATGCAAGCTATTTTGTACACTTTATTTTCTAAACATCAAACTCAAGGGTTGAGCTTAATTTCATAAAGAAATAATGAGTTTGATTTCAGTTACTGGATCGTCAAATCGGAGAATTTTGTACGAAGTTGACCTTAGTTTATTAATCAATGTCATTATTTCTTAGTAAAATCGGGTTTATGTAGCGTCGGACTTTGAAAGGTGATTCCCCGAAACTAGCCGGTTAATCGTTACTCGTTACCCTTGTATTACAATCGTTACTCGTTACTCTTGTATTACAATTGTTACTCGTTACTATTGTATTACATAACTAGCAGTGTTAGCGACTGTCTGCGTAGACATGCATATAAGTTATCTAATCTGTTAATTACGACGTCGGTCGCATCCCGTCGCTCTTGCAAGTAAATTTTAAAAGATAGACATATAGTGGCTCGGACATTTTTTTAAATTCTTTGAAAAGGAATAATTCTTTCATGATTATTTTTTGGGCATCTTGTAACGTTTTTGCATCATCAGATTATCTTCCTCGATAAATGCTTTAACCAACGCAAAAACATTTTTTAAATTATTTTGGAAATCAAAATTTATTTTTGCAAACGTCGTCTTCATATTTATTGATCTAAGCTGTTACCCACGACGTCAGTTGAGTCCCGTCGTTCTTGGAAGGTAATCTTAAGATATATATAGTGTCGAGGCCATTTTTTTAGATCATTAAAAGAGGAATTAGGAAGGAGTATCTTGAACCGTTTTCGCAGCGTTTCCCCGTTTCTTCACTCCTATAGGAGATATGTCGCAACACGCTGCTTTATACACGATGCCTTTTCCGATAAATTGTCTAACTAAAACAAAAATTATTTTTTAATTCTCACCAGTCGTTCCTGAAATTAGCGCATTCAAACAAATAACAAACTCTTTAGCTATATATATTAGTATAGATTAAGACTGAGTTAATTTGATTCAAGAAAAGAGAGATTAGTTGGTTTTAAACTGATTATCCTTTCCAGGGAAGCTCTTTGCTCGGTTTCATTTGCATCTTATGCTCTCGACTAAGCTCGGCCAGTAAAGGGGCCTACTTCAGCTGGATCTCTATGATCGCTTTCTGGTTCACCGGAATTCTCCTGGGCTTGTACCTGTTCCACATCGTCGAGAAGTTCTACAAGATACCCTGGCTGCGAATGGAGTTCCTCTTCGCCTCGGTATGGTCAGTGCTGTACCTGGTAGCTTCGATCCTAGCCATCACCGTCGGCGACAACGCTCATTTAGCCGCTTGCGTAAGTTTTTATTGGATATTTCTTATTCCATATTTCAAAACTAATTAGCAATATTTATAGCATAGGCTATAGAAAACGAGTAACAAAGTTGCAGCTATGTTCGGCTTTAAAGTATCGTGTGTTGAACTGTTTCAGTTCTTCGGGTTTGTGGCGACGCTCGCTTACATGATCGACGCGTTCCTTAAGTTCCGGTCGGTGCGCGCCGGTGGCCTCGCGCAGGGCACCAGGGTCGTCTCGAAGCAGACCACCGAGGTGACCACGCCGCCGCGCGTCGGGTACTGAACCCGACACATGAACGAGAAGCAGTACTGTACTAACTCCGACATAATAGATGTAGGTTCACATTTGTAGCCAGTCGTTTACGATATGTTAAATCATTTAATTAGTGCACTAGTATTTTTCGTCTCAAATCGATTAGAAGTGCGAAATGAGTAGAGTTTAAGAACCACAGTAAAAAAAATACATTACAACAATAACACGGTGCCTTATGTATTTTAGGACATATCAAATATATATACTTTTAAGCGGTCGAGCTCAGATCCTATTTACAATAAAATACAGATAATAAATTTCATATCGTTAAATTAATTTCTAGTCTCTACTTTCCGATGTATCGAAATAATAATAATAATAATATGTATGTATATAATATTTTTCCTACACTATACCGGTTTGTATATCTTTGCGCAATTTAATAACTTACTTATTTAATTATTTTTATGTTATTTCCGATACCAGGGTAGATTCGTTCAAAATCTGAGGAGGTATCTCGAAATTTAAGGGAGAAAAATAAACGTTTCGCAGTACCTCCTATAGAGACGAACCATGACTAATATTATAGGGTAAACCTTAAGATTAAGCACATGGTCTTTATAAGATAGACCTTACTGCCTCACAACTCGTAACTTTGTGAAACAACTGTGAGGCTGTATTTGTACCTGTGTTAAGTTAGCGTTTTTGTTTTGACAGTTGGTATATGTAAGGATTGTTAAACTATGTTGATTGTTCGTTATACGAGGTGGATACAGATATATACCAGTTATAGATCATTCGCACAATAATTGGTTTTATAAAGCTTGCGTTTGGTTTATAAAAGCAATGATTGTGCGGGATTAAGGCAGATGTCGTTGGAGTCGTTGGTAACCGTAAACAATAGTACACTCACAAGTAATTATAATTATAACAAGTATTCTTGGTTTTAAAATGACACAGTTTACTAGTTTCATCTTAGACAAGAGGTGCCCCCAATACCCACACTGGGTTCACATCGTGGGTTATTTTTCCCTTGGCACCCCTAATTAAATCTAAACTGACTAATTTCGACGTGTCCACCTGATATAGAAACAAACTGTTTTTAATCTAGACTCATTACTTCGCTGCAATTAACTGCCTTTGGAGTATTTTGTTTTCATATCGTTGTTTTTATAACAGCGTTAGTGCCTTACCAAATGTTAAAAATTCGAGAGAGATATTTTCTATAATATATTTACATAGAATTAAGATAACAACCATTCCGGCATATAGCCTCTACGAATTTTTAATGGAATTTTGTCGCCTCATCAACATTGGGCCAGTACATATAATAAGTGAGCACACAAATAGAAATAGACATTTGGGCATGTCATTGCACAAAGTGCTTTCAAATCCAACATTTTAATTGTACTTAACTAATGCATTTTGACTCTTATATAATAAGCTTTTGTTATGGCTATCGAGTTTAAAATAAATTGTTTAACGATTGTGTTTATCTTATTTCCGCGGCGTATACCGTTGATTTCTAATTATAACAATTCGCTTGTCAGTCTATTATGTTTGTAAAATATGGAAGAGATGAGAAACGTGAAGGAACGATAATAATTAATTTAAAGGTTATTCAACAAGTAGGAGTCAGTAGTGTTTTGTCATTATATATGGTTACACGAAGTACTACGAGGAAAGGTTTAGGGAATTATGTTTGCTAACCTTCTGTAATATTATATATTTCATTAGACCAATATCTTTTAATAGGACTTCCGCATATTCCTTACAGTTTAAGTCGTTTTATGTCCTCCAACTTGAAGTCAGTCCTGAAACAGAAGGAATATGCTATAATAATAATTAATAACTATCAGAGATACAACTACTCCAACATTTATACCAATAATAAGGTAACGGCTACAATTTAAAAGCTATGTTTTTTTTTTGCAAAAATACATGTCGAGACGAGTAAGGTCGACCCTTGTATTATAGTAACACTTTGATTTAACGATTAACGAAACAGACCACATCATAGCTTCGCATCGGGCGGGAAAATACCTAGTTGTTATTTTATATCAAGTTATGAGTCACTACAATTTTTGAGAGAATAATTAATTCGGTGTTCTCTCAAGTACATCTTTTCTTTTCTTTACTAAAGTCCAATAGATATTTTCACAATTACCTGGTGGCGAGGGCTTGCTTGACGAGCGCGGGCGGAAGTGGGGTGGAGGGCGCGTAAGGCTTATCGGCAGCCAGCAAGGCCGCCAAGTGGGCAAGCCTCGCGCACTGCTCGCGCGCTGCGCCCGCTCCGCTGCCCGCCCACGTGCTTAAGCGCCGACAACGCCGTTCGACGCAAGCGCCGCTTTCCTTGTTATGAATTAGCAAAGTCAATTGGTAATAAGCTGACATTTCACGCGCACACGCGGGTTCTTTTTCAATCTTCCTCGATTACTAAAATGAATAAAGGTGAATTACCCTATTGTAATGATTAGCCAGAAGGTTCTTCTGCGCGCGAGCAACGAGTTCGCCGAGCAGCTCGGCAAGGAGCTCGTCGGCCGCAGCGGGCAGTTGCGCGTGCACCTCTTCCGCGAGCACGTCTAGCGCGGCGGGGAGGGCGTTGGCCTCTTCGTCTATATCCTCTGTATGTAAAATTTATTTGATTATTGTTTTCGATACTAGTAAGTACATAGCGCTAAACAGAAAAATAAGGAACAATTTTGGAACAAGTGACTGTTAGTCTTAGGATACTTACTTTGTTTGTTTGTCTGCTAATTTTAAACATTTTTTTTGAGAATCCTTTTTGCCATTCTTGAGAACACTGACCGATATCAAACTCCGGCTCGACGAGATGCTGGGCCCACAGCGCCGTGGTGGGCTGCAACGCAGCACGGAGAGCCGCCCGGCCGAGCTGCGCAGCACTTCGAAACGCCGCCGCAGCGCTGGCAAACCCGCCGGCGCACGAGCGCACTTTATCGCGTTCGCCGCTCGTGCGGCACAACGCCTCGGCCCATTCGCAAGCGTCACTCGCTAGTCGCTCCGCCCACTCTCCGCCCTGCTCCGTTTCGCTCATGTGCGCCTGCGTTTTTTAATTTCTTTCCCTAATGTTATCTTTTAATAAAAATGGCTCGAGTTGGACAAGACACAGTAAAATGAAAGCGCTTCTATTAATAAAACGTAAAGAATTTACCACATAACAAACAGGCTAAAATATTTCGTAAAAGCATATTTCATCGGTGGCTACTGACAAAGAACAGTGTTTCGAGTTCCCTCGAAATCCTGGGTAGCGGATTGTGCGATGCCAGGCTGCGGGGCGGGGGGAAGGTAAGCGGGTCGGTGGGGGGTGCAGCCAGGCGCTTACGCAGCACGGCTGCAGCGCGCTCCAGCTGAGCGCCGGTCTCATTTACCACGCAGCACACGCCCTCCACGCTGCCCGTTGACACACCGCGCCTGGTCACAGAAGGCTCACGTTTAGCAATATAAAGTATATGCTTTATTACAAATGTTGAAATTCGGAGAAAAGTAACTTCTGGCCTTGTCGCCACTGTTTGTATAATCTATACTAATATATAAAGGTAAAGAGTTTATTTGATTGAACGCGCTAATCTCAGGAACTGCGGGTTTAAATTGAAAAATTTAGAACATTTATCGAGAACAGGCTGTAAAACATCGCTCTGTGATTATTAGGAGCGAAGATACAGCCAGAAACGTGAAAAAAATTGGGAAAATTATTCATTATTGTGGGTTTCCGATGCGTAAGCTGCCATAACGGTTCATGATACCCAAAAAATATGTATGAGAGAGTTATTCCTCTTTGAATGATGTAAAAAAAAATCCGCGACGCTATATATATCTTTTAAGATTAACTTGTAAGAACGACAGAAACCAAAAAAACAAATTTTGATGCACAAAATAACAATTCTACGCGGGTGAAGTCGCTAACACAGCTAGTAAATTATAAATTATGCACACATTCGTTGTATTTATATTTTGATAGAAACAGGGTAGGTGGTCTCGAACAAATATTCGAACCGTTGTGTGCTCATGTAGGAAAGAGAAAGAAAATCGCTCCCGAAGCGAGCGCGAGCGAGAGTAGTGTTCACAGAAATCGTAATAACTCGTAATATAGACCACGATATTATAAGGAATCAAACAAATGGATATCGGATTGAGAAAGGCTTAAACACTCGTTAAGAAAAAATTAGGATAGGGCATTTTAAACAAATCAAAAATAGCTTCTAATCAAAAATAACTCTAATATTTAAATTCAGCGATCGGCCAAAAATACATCATCACCCGTCCGCCCGCGTAACCTTCCATGTTTGCCATTACTTATAAAGTTATAACGAGGCGCTTTCAATGAGCTGAGTAAACTATTCAGCTGTTATACATACATACACACACACACACATATGCATAATAGATTACACATTTGCAAATTGTAAGTCTAAGCTTCATTTATCGACGCGTCGTAGATAGGCGCGCGCGCAGTGTTCGCAGACGCCGGTTCATTTAATTGCACATTTTGCGTTGCCTACTGCTACATTTGGTGAGTTTGATTTTAAATTCATTATTTTAACTGCGTAATGAATGCATTTCTTACAAAATGCAACCACAACACGGCAGATATACCCACAGCTTTAAACATATACGCAAATTTTCTTTTCTTAAGCTTCAGCTACCTACAAGACACAAAAATAATAAGTATTTTTTTGTGGTTACGGCACTTTCCTGCGGATCACGAGGTCTCGGGTTCGAATTCTGATCGGGCGAAATTTCCAATTTTCCAAGAAAATTTCTAGTTATTTGGAGGGTTAGGTGTTTAGTTGGAGGTACACGAGATTCGAGAATAAGTTATGCCGTGAGTGCCGCTTATCGAGACTAAATTAGTGACCGTCGTCATTAAAACAGTATCAGAGATTGGAAGCTCTAACTTAAATAAAATGTCGGCGCCGGGTCCGACCGACGGCCGCCTACGTGACTACAGTATAAACAATGTTATATTAAGCACTCCTGTTTTCGTGCGCAATAAATAACGCCTTAAGTGCAGTTACAATGTGGTAGACAGACGGTGCGTCAGATATTGAGGAAAAGTATTCACATACCTTCTTAACTATGACCGATTAGACGGATTGAATTTTTAAACATGACGGTTTAGCCGTTAGCGAGCTAACTTTAGTTTAGAACTTTTACAAGAGAAACGGTTTCACAGTATTTTCAATTAATTTATAAAACGTAAATTCTTATCATGTTTAGTTGCAATTAGTGCCAGAATTTACGGACATTTAGAGATTGCGTAAAAAACAAACGGCAAAATGATAAAGCCTATTTATAAATTAAACTTGCTTATGATACCTACGACCACTCGTAATGTATTAATGTTTCACATGCTCATGTTAGAATGCCGCTAACCATGGCCATCGAAAAGGCTTAATTTATTTTTATGAACTTTTATATACAAGCTGTGGCCGCGACTACGTCCGCGTAGGACTGTTATTTTGAATATCAAAATTTGGTTTTGCATAACTCCTCATCTTTATAAATTAGGTACAGCTGTCGCCCACGACGTCGTCCGAGCCCCGTCGTTCTTGCGAGTTAATCTTAAAAATCGTTCTTTATACGTAGTCAGTGGTCGGAAAATTGGCTACTTCCAATTTATTTAGCTGTAACTGATAAGGCGTTTCTTTATGAAACACATACAACCCCAATTACGCACCCTTCCCTCACCCATCTTTAGATCTGTGGAATCAGCTAGTACCTAAAATATAGTTTTAAAACATCTTATAGGTACTATACAGACACCTTCTACATAGGTTTCTAGACGTAGGCATTTGAAGACAGGGGATTTTCAAGTGCTATCGAAACATTATCTTATCAATTAAAGCATATTTAATCAGCGGTTTCAAGTCTATAAAATCAAGCGTCAAGCAATAAACCGCTTATCTGTTAGCCAACTATAGTGGCTGCGAGTACAAGTTATCTATATATATAATATATATCCCACATATATGCATCTCCCTGCTTTGTGGGTGGCCCGTGAATATTTCCATTTATTCCTATGCACACTCGTTAATCATGTTAAGTAGTGATTCGATAAAATTGTTTTAGTACAGAACAGCAAACATCGATGTGTCTAGAACATTTTCGACCTAAAATAACTTTAAATATAATTTCTAATTTTATTTTATTGGAATTACGTTAATCGTAAAAAACGGGAGTGCTGTCAAAAATTATTGCCTAAAGCTGTGTTCAATGTACTGGTAAAAACCGCGAGAATCCATAGGTCGAGAGCAGCATCTAAACAAGATTCTGCTCTCGACTTATTTCAGCTTTGGACATTCGGAAATTCACAGTCTGAAACCGATTTTTACGCCCCTTAATATCCAGATTTCCAGACGAAAACCAAAAAGTTTAAAAAAAATATAAATTTAAAAATTAGAAACATGTCGGACCGGGTTGGGATCGAACCCACGGCCCGTTGGTTATTAGCCATACATTACTATCATTAGACCAACGAGGCCTGTCGAATATTCACACAACATATTTCTATTGCTTTATTTCAATACATATGATACATGTTTTGCAGGTTATGGGATCTGAAAAGTGCAGGAGACACCTGCAAAATTTGACTTCGCTTCTCGTCAAATTCGGGAAGGAACCGAAAAAGATCGAAGGTAGAAAGATAACGAACTGGTTTCGCATCGGGGAGGAAATATTCGAAGAGTTTTTTGAAGCCGGCCGCAGCGTCGCCTGGCGATACGCAGCAATAAGAGAAGAGAAGGAGACGTCGAACGTCCGCGCACAGATTACGCTCAACCACAAGTGGCTAGTGTTATTCATAAACGTTTATCCCAATTTCCGCATTGACTTGGACCTGGTGGGTTCGGCCGATAGCGTTTGTAAAGTTCGCTCGGGTATAGAGGTCTTCTTAAAAGGATTGGCCGGTTCCAACGACACGTTCGACAATTTACTACGAGACATAGGGGAAGAAGGGGAAATCGAAGAATTGGACAGGTGCCTTAAGTTGTGGGCGGAGACCGGTCATCGACCCGACTTTTCAAAGAAACCCTCAAATCTAAACGGCGAACATTGGTGGTGGTTTTAAGAGAAGTTATCATATTTCGGAGACAACTTCGAATTAAGGAACAATGGAAGTCTCCGAGAGCGAATGGGTCAGTAAGGGCATCGATAACGTGGACAAGTATCTGAACAGAGGCGGAGACTGCGAAGGGGACAACCCCCAATTTTTAGGAGGAACGGACCTTCAGAACACGATAGGCATAGCCATGGGACTACCGCTGTACAATCCGGAGGATTGGACGAAGTCGGAATTGGAAAGGGCGTTCCGGGGAGAACTTGTGTTCTTCAAAGGCGACTCTTTAAAGGCCATCAACGTTATAGCCGATGCGATTGTAAGCGCCTGCGACGGGGATAGCAAAAATTACATAACGATTATACCAATAGAGCTATACTATAATGGAAAACTATACGAACTGCCGGTGTTTAGAGCGCATCGCTACAAGGACTCGAAAAAGTACTACGTCGACAATACGGGGCGGGTCTACGACAGCGTCAGTGATTGGTACAATAACAGCAAGCTGCCACCGTGCAAGATGCTGTACCCCGTCGATCTGAGGTTGAAGCTGAGACCGGGTTACAAGTACTCGCACGTGTACGTAGCCTCCACTCCGTCGGCGAGGGGAGACGCGAAAGTCGCCAGGGGAATCGATACGGTGAGCGCAGTGGCCGGGATCTCCTCTGGTGTAGGATTACTCTTTGTATCGGGAGGCTTAGCGGCTCCATTGGTCGTCGTGGGGGCAGCCAGCGCGATCTGGGGCTCCGCTAGAGCCACGCACCAGCTAGCGGATCGAGCGACGCACGGAGAATCCATCAATCCATTTACGAACACCGAGTCCCGAATGCTATGGATCGGCATCGCCGCAAACGTGGCCAGCTTCGGGGCGATGGGCGCGACCATGAGGCTCACGTCGCTGGCGGCGCGCGGCAGGGAGATCTCCACGGCCCTCCGCATCATAACGAATGTGGCCAACGGAACTAGCTTAACTCTGAGCACGTTGGCGATACTCAACAACACCGTATACCTGATTGAGCATTTCGACGACTTGTCCAAATTAGACGTTCTCATGCACTTGGCGGCGATCGCCTTCTGGACCAAAGGCGTGTATACGTACAAAACTGCGGGCGCCCTGATCAGAGAAGCGGAGGTTCAGGCCTTCAAAAATATCAATAAGGAGCTGAGCCCCGAGAGGCAACAGCAGCTGGAAGAAGTGAGGAACAGAGTTCAGAATGACGCGAGTCTTCTTCGCCAGTTCATAGCCGCTTCTCAATCTAACGTGTCTATACAGGAATACTCTCAAGTGCTGATAGACGGCATGCAATATTACGACACCCTCAGCAACATGACTCCGGAGCAGGTGGAGGCGTTCGCAAATCTTAGAAACGTCCTGAGGGATGACTTGCGGCTCGTCACCGGTCTCCAGAGAGTGGCCCAAGCCACGAACTTGAACAGACAACAGACGCTAGAGCTCGTCGTGGGCATGTGGCAGAGGTACGCTGAATCAAACTTCGCCAGCACGAGCGATATCAGCTTAAGAGGAGGCGCTCTGGTCTTAGGCAGCGCTCCGCCGATTCGAATCAACCAAATGCCCGAGCTATCTGTCTCCATGATTCGATTTTTCGGTGAGCATTTGAGTAAAATAGACGTCAGTGCGACCAGTCAGTGGTCGGTTCCCGAGTTGCTGGCGCTCCAGAATCGAGGATTATTCACCGACTGCCCGGTCACCGGGATATCGAGGAAAGGCCACTCCACTCTCATGTTGGCCGACAAGCTAGAGATCAGCGTAAAGAAACTGCAGAGCATGTCGCCCGAAACCTGCCGAAAGATGTTCACCCTGGTCGCGGCTCTCACTTCTAACCAATCCGAGACGAGCGCGCGATTGCCCGCCGACATCGTCCGTCTCTGCGTCCGCGAACTCAGATTACGCTTCGAGGTCCACCGGCGCGAGAGCGTCGAATGGGCACTGAGCTGCGCGAGTCAACGAGCCAATCTGTGCACAATCCTTCGGGGCGATCTGATGCCGCACGAGAGGGACCGGCTTTTCACATTCAAAAGCGACGTCGCGATGTGCAAGGCGGACGAAATATACATGGGTGACATGATGAAGTTTGTCTCCGAGCAGAATCCGAGAAACGTGAGCGAACTCGTCGCGTACGCCGAGTTCGTAATGACGTACGTGGAAGAAGCGGCCGCCAACATCCAAGGAGATATAGCGGAAGGACGGAGGCAGGTGCCGCGGAACATTAAGAAAACCCGCTGGGCCAGTGAGTAATAATTACTTAGCCTGATATGAAAGTAAGAAAGAACACAATTTTTTGTTGCTATTAAATATAAATAAGATACTAAATAACGAACTATGAAATAATTACTCATAAATGTAACAACTCCGTAACTCCGACGGTTTTAGATGGCAAAAAAATGGTCCAATGGTCTTGAGTAAAGTAGTGCACGTGGTGCTCCTCGGCCTTCAGATGGACCATAATAGTAATACATAATAACAGTAAACTAAAATATTTGTTCATTTAGTTAGTAAGATATGTTTTTATTAAATAGGAGGGCAACTAGGCCGAACTCTCACCCCTTATTAATATTTTCAGGAGAGCAAGCGAGCAGAGAGGTGTTCGCCGATACGGCGGCGATGAAAGAAAAATTAGCGGAGTTACTACGAATCGTAGACACAAACGACATGGTGGGAGTGCAGACGCTGGAGTCTGGTCTGTCAGACGGCGCGCTGGTGAGCGCGGTCCGTTCGCACAGGATCAGGTTCGGCGGAAGGATCTCGGCGGCTTATCACATCTACAAGCACAGGACGGACCCCATCACTTCGTACGTGGACCGCGCCAATAACGTCATGCGCCAAGCCGCCGAGCCCACCGTCACCATCGGGCAGCAAGGCGACACCAGGCTCCTCTCGTTCAAGACTGCCGACGGCAGTTGCATAGTTCTCGAGAGCAACGGCCGAGTCTTGCTCTGCACTTTCACGGAAAACGTGAGGCGCTGAAGTAGCAGCGAAGTGAACAAATTTATATAAGATTATATATCAAGCGTTCGTAATCGTACTTCCCAAAGTATCTGTCAGATTCGTTATAAGCGAAGGCAATTTGTAATAGAGATAACCGAACCAATGCTTAAAATGTAATCGCGCTAAAACATTACGTATATTTTGCGGTGTGTACTTTTGTCGGTTCCGAGCTCTTTGCCGATTCTTCTACTGAGAAGAACACTGGTTAACGAGCGTCGAATCGGTGGTAATTTTATGAGTTAATATATATCGTGAATAAACGTTGTTTCATTTCAAATATTAAAAACAGGCGTCTTATATTTTAAACAGTTAAAATTAGAACTTCAAATATTTGCAAATCTGTGAATGCTTTATAGCAACCTACAAAAATATATAAAATTGTAGTATAGACTACTATTATCAAATAAATATGTATAGAATGATACTCAGTAATATAAAAAGACATATTGCAAGTATATCTAATTGTTCCTCTGGGTATCACACATCCAAAACTTGTCTTATTTCACATATTTGCTCTAGAAATTTTGCAATTCACGTTAATGAATTGAACTAGGGACCATTTTTATGATCGAGGAGAACAGACGAGTATAGGATTCCCACAATGAAAGGTCGAATACCCCCGCCGTATTTTGCCATTTGATTGATTTGATTTGAAACTGAGTTTTAGGTCAACACAAGGCCTGAAACTGACACTATTACATTATTGTGTGCCTTCTAGTATTATGTCTTAAATAATGTCTTACCGGATTACCTTCCTCGCAATGAAGAACACGTCGTCCACCAGACTGGAAGTGGTCTGCCCCGGTTGCGGCGTGGACATCTTCAGAGCCTTGCTCACACTCTCTTCCAGGTAATATCTGTTATGTAATAAATTGAACTCTAAACCTTGAAGACACAAAAATACATACACTCGAAAGGATCGCACGATTGTATCTATTTTGGGAATAAATGATTGGATTGAGTTAAGAACTTCACATTATTTGACCGATTCCATAGATAGATACAAACCTTTCAAGCGTAAGATAATGTCCAAGGAGGTCTTGCGCAGTTCTTGTTGAGTCGCTTTCCGCTATCAACTTCTCTACGGCCTCTGCGCATGCGGCTTTCGATTTTTCATCCATGTTTTCGTTCATCTGAGATGAATTTTTATTTATTTATTATGTTACATCAAAAGATCACTCACATAGAATACATTTTACTGATCATCATAATAAAAAAACTCACGAACTCAGCGCTGTCAATTTAATAAGTAAATAGGCAAAGCGAACCCAAGTATAATAAAGTATCTATAGTGGCTATAAAGAACGTTTAATAGAAACAAAGCAGCGATTAAGTTTCAAGGAATGAAACCTGGTTTCGTAGTTCAAATGAAAACTAATTTCTCTAGTCACGGAGCAAAGATGTTTGGTGAAACGGGGTTAAAAAGTTCTGTGCGGGTTACATGACAATAGTAACGTGGGTTCCAAGCAAGACGTCCGAATTCCATGCTATGCTACGAACTAAAGAGGTAAAAATTAGTACAATACGGCCGACGTAACTTGGCAAGCCTGATCTAAGCGCGAAACGCTGCGCAGAAACGTTCTTTAGGATGTTAACGGTGATAAGAGCGAGGGGCGCGGGACGAAGATCTAGGCTAGTGATTGACTCAATGTCACCACAATCGACCGCTTATTCTATCAAATTGTAATCGATTTAGATTATGGATTTTAAATCGTATGACATATTGTACTAAATGGATTGATGTACACAGTTAATGGTGTTGTTAATAAACAATACCACGATTACCTTAAAGGAAAATAAAATAATTAAAAATTTATTTTCCTTATTGAACTACCTGATTTAGTTAAATTTGAGTTATTATTTATATATGTAATTACTATCTATACTTAGGGCTTTTTGTACAATTATATTTCTACGATCCAATTTTGTCTATTTCAATAGCAATTGATTAAACGACACTCTCAAGGATAACGTATGGACATCTCTATTTGGTTCTTTCGTAAAGTTACGTACATATTCTGTAATGTTCGGTAAACAGTTGTGTGTCTCGGTCACTCCTTGGCGTTTATTTCGTTATCTCTGTCTTAAGCGCAGTCCGTTACAAAAGTGATTATTTATTGTTAAATTTAATATTATTATTTCTCTTTTGTTATATTTTTGTTTTGTCTCTGTATTTTAGTGAAAGGTAAGTGATCGTAGCCCCTATTCTCTTTGAATCAATTATTGGTATGTTACTTTTGCTTGCTATAGGTAAAATCTTTCATTTATCTCAGTAACTAAATAAATGGCAGTATTAGTTTTCTTTAAGAGTGTACATGCGCCAAAGTTAGTTTACCCTCTGTTCAGACTTGCCAAGTTACGTCGGCCGTATTATATTTTCGACTTAGGTGATTAAAAACACTCTGAAGATCTTTTTTTAAAACAGAACATTCGACCTGCCTTATCGATAATGTTATTAATGTGCGTTACAAAGGTAAGCTTGCTGTCAATCGTTCTTCCTAGATTCCTCATTTCCGTCACGACTTCAAAACGACGTCATAAGGGGAGCAAATTGGTCGTTTTTTAGACATTATATAATCTAAGATTATAATGTCCAAACTTTTTAAGCAAATACATTTGATGTAATAAATTGTGTAAGGCTTTCACGGCCATCGTTCAGCATATCATTATCGGGCTGTTCGGCCGATGTGAGCGAGAAGAAGTACGCGACGTTTCGCCATCACGTGTGGACGGCATCATCAGGAGATGTTAACTCCTCGATTGCTCGAAGAATTATGAGTTGGCCGCCGCGGCCTCAGATTATATACACTCTAATAAGCGCGGATTGTAGTGGTGTGTAGTGAAAGTGTTCTGAAATGAATTTTCTTTGAAAGCTAGCCTCTTTTGGCATTTCGCAGAATTGGAACCCATGTTTTGTTAATTTTGTGAGATTCCTCGGATCTATTACAATTCCGTTTATGTTTATGAATCTCTATCGCCTCTCTGAGGTAAAAAAAGAACCTCTTCTCGCTCACATCGGCCGAACAGCCCGAAAGACAATGATATACATTTGATTTACTCAAGTTTAAATACTGCCTTTAGTTTACGCGAGGAGTACACATTTAAATAAAACACTTTAACAGTTTAAATCATATTAGTCAAACCGTTAAAGTATTTATTTAAATTCTTTCACGTTTCTTTTGTTTTTACATATTAATACTAACTTCTACGCGCCTCCTCAGAAAGATCCAGTAGAGCTGAAGGCGGTGGTGGGCGAGCGCGAGCTCGTTGAGGGCCGGCTCGACTGTCAGCGGGGAGCGGTTCTCCGTGCTGGGGTACCTTCGGGTCGCTATCAGAGAACGACACACCGTGCGCACGCCGCTACAGAGCTATAATTAACATGCAACAATAAGATTCAATTGGTCATATACTACTAACAAAATATATAAAAAACTTGAAGTGCACCATCTACCTTAATTATTCATTTGTAATTTCTATGATAGTAAGCGGGCATAAGATCGTAGTTTATATTGCGAGCATAACATATTTCCATTCAAAAGACCACGAATATACGGTATAATTTTAAAATTCGTCTTTTTTGAGAAAACTTAAAATATCACAGTACCATCGGTTGCATGACGGTTAGGGCTTGCGGCAAAGTGTCGGGAGCGGCTACACTCAGTGTGCGCACCCTTTCTACGGCTGCTGCCCCGCATTCCAGCACTCGGGTCAGCGCGTCGGCGTGTACTGCGGTTTCGTTCTTCCCGCTGCTCGACACCATACTAGCGCGGCGCACCGCTACGTCCAACTGGAACACGGTGGATAATTATTGCTAGGGTTCATTATATCTATACTAATATTTAAAGCTGAAGAGTTTGTTTGAACGCGCTAATCTCGGGAACTACAGGTTCGAATTGATGCCCACAATAACTGTTCTACGAGGACGAAGTCGCTAGCACAGATAGTAATTTAAATTCTTCATTTTGGGATGAAAATGCCGTTACTTATCTACATATATACAATTAATTTACATCCAGTAATCACTCATTGATTTACCTCATTCAAAGTTACTACCTGCATAATGTGGTAACTCTCATTACTAGGATTTGTGTTTTTTATAATAAACTGTATGTTAAATGTGAATGTGATTCTAACCTGTGAAGCCACATATTTACTCAACATGGCTACACCTAGCTCGGCACACCCTATCTGCGGAAATAGTTTGAACAACCTCTCGACTGAAGTGTCATCCTCTTTTTTTGCTGCTTCCTCGAATCTGAAGTAGAGAAGTACTTAACATCATTCAAAATCAGGGGTCACTATAATCAATAACAATTTTGTAATGATCTTGAGATTGCACTTAATAATTACAATTAATGTGACATAATGTTCTTATTGAGTACAGAAATACTGTTACTTTTTAATCAGGTGTTCTCGCAAAGTATTTGCGGCAGCTGTTATATCATGTCTCGGATCAGTGTCTCCTCTTGCCCGAGCGGCCGCTACCGACGCAGGTTCCATACTCAAAAATCGTGAAATGTGAGCAGCAGCTTAAACATTTAGAAAAATATTCTTTAGTGAAACAAGTAGGATTCTATTTCCACTCAAGTCTTATCACCACTATCCCGTCTAATGAGCGGGTGTTGAACGGCTGTTAAAATTTTATTATTATATAGATAGATTGACCAAACTTTACTTTCTTTCTGACCTTGGCAATAAACATAAAATTTAGAATGCAAACTGAGAAATTCAAATATCACAATTGTCAGAACTATTAAACTTTGATTTTAAAAATGTAAAGGATAAAACTTCAAAATAGGGCCTTTTAATTGCCCTGCCTTTGTCAAACTTTTTAACTATTATAAGTATATTTTGACTTAAAATAAAAACCACAAACCTGTTTCATAGTCATGTGCTTTGATGGCTGTATCAACTCCAGCACTGCAAACCTTGAGGTCTATTAAATCATGGACTCTCTGTTGACATTCAGCAACTCTAGACTAGAAACAAAATTACATATAAGATAACAGTAATTTACTAAAAATTGATTATTTCTCCACTATCAATTGCATACACAAACACAAGTATAAAACAATTAAGAAAATTTATAAAAACTATTTAGTGCAAGTAATATTGCAAGCCAAGTTGGAAATAAGATTGTTCTACTAATAAGAACAAAAAACTTTAAAAAATATAGATAAAAGCAACTTCTCTAATAATTCCAAACCACATTATACAAGTGACACATATAGTAGTTTACTCACCCTTGCAAGATCCAGCTGCCGCACTTTAGCGCTCACATCTTTTGCCAATACCGCAGTCTTTTCTACCATATCCGAAGCCACCAACGCCTCTGTTTTGACTTCACCCAACTTCGTATATGCTTGACTAGCTGTACGAAGTCTTCCCTCGAGAATACATGCTTTAGACAGAGCGTTTGATAGAGCATCGTTGACTTCGGCCTGGAAAGGAGAAGCCTCGTTCTCAAGTGCACTATTTCGTGAAATTTATGCGATTATAAGTGGACTAACCTCTTCCTTTTCGATTTCATTTAACGCTTTCTGAAGGCCTTCTTCAGATGAAACATCATACTTTTCTAATAAGAGTGCTATCGACATTTTTGCTAATATTTTATTTGAATAAGTAAAACTAATGGTTTTTGTTTATTTTGCTGGTCGTGTTGTTGTTGGATTTTCTTCTGTTATGACGGGTTACTTGTAACGGGCCAATCACTATGCGATGTCACTGTCATTTATGACATACTGATGATCGTATACAGTGATATGTCAATAATCACTTGCAAAACAAACTGTCAATGGTAGTCATACAATGGAGATTGACGAATGAACTGTGATTGTGATGTGAATTAATTTAAATACGTCCCATGTCTGTCTACCTAACATAACAGTAAACATAAAAATTTTTGTGATCAAGAAATCAATGTATGTATCGCGAGACGAAATTATAAACAAACAGTGGGTTTGTAACCGTTAACTCTCCTTGAGGAAATATTTTAGTTCTGTTGTGAATAGAAAACCTTAAAGGTAAGTCTGATTAAAGATCATTGACACTCGCATAAATTATGGCCATATAGTAACGAATACAACAATTATTTATTAATATATAATATGTTTGAAGGATCACGCTATATAGAACGCATCGTTTTGATCAGACAGCTTGTAAAATTTTTACGTGAGTGTATTGTGTAAGAAGTTTCAAAAACTTGTCGTGATGAAGATGGTTGCTCACAGATTGACTCCGTGTGGGGCTGGGCTTCGCCCCCGCTGCGCTTGCAGCTGGGAAACGCGCGCGGGCACAAAAGGTATTGACTGTCATTATTTCTCACCAAAATCAAAAGCAGTGTTCACATACACGATTGTTGATATGTTGCCCAATCGGTAACGTAATCACTTATATTTCTTTACTGACTTGTTACTCACATGTGTGTACTATTAGAAGATTGAAAAATTACAAAATTACTTCATCATACATGACTTGAACAGGTAGTTGCCTTTATTAAAGTATTTAGGTGTCGGTTTTAATCTGAGGAAAACAGATAGTTTTAAAAATAAATGTTATGTTTTTTAACTCTAGAGGAACTGAGGATTGGAGCAGGTATACTACACAGGAGTAAATGCTCTTCTTACAAGAGCGGTTTAGGTTCTCTTGGTATTCAAATAGGTCTGGGTTAGAATCCTGAGAGAACTTACACACAATAATTTCTTTTACTTAGGGAGGGTAACAACCACAAAATATCTCTGCATATTAATAAACAAATCAGTACTGTAAACACATATGTTTTCCGCGAATTTGAATTATAAGAGATAAGGTAATTTTTCAAGATCTACAAGGTTACCTAATATCTCATTAAAGTGTATTAAAATATTTATATGAAAACTGTAAAAAACGAAGTCTTCTTGTGAGTAAATGCAATTATGAGGTTAATTGTATCAGTCTTCATTGAAGTGAAAGTAAGGTCCCAGACATAGATTAAACCTCCTTGAAATATATTCTCTTTGGGTTGCTTTTATGTTCTTAAAGTATTTTAACTTTGTTGTGTAATAAATTGGTGCAGTAATGGAGTAACATATGAAATGACACAAATGACTTATTGACCTAATTGTGCTGACCATCATATTTGCTTAAAATAGTATCAATAAATTGTCTTGCTTGCTCTTTGTGAAACAACAGAAACACCACATTTGCACATCACAGATTAATTTGATATTAGAGAAAGGGAACGTAATTGAATTGTATTATGCTGTAGATGAACTATTCTTGTTCCTATCTATAATTTAGGCTTATGTAAGTTTGAACCATGTGGAAAGGATGAGAGCCCGACACTTTTCTACCTCACTACACTACTGCTCATACTTCTGTTTCTCGTGCTACATATCTTCAAGATTCAAACCAAGAAACACTTGAACCTGTATTGATACTTTCGTTGTCTGGCAGGATGGGAGAAGGCGGTTCTCCCGGGGGCGGCGTGGGGGGTGGAGCCCGATTGTCCCACACGTCGGAGAAGCACCCTCGGTCCATTCTAGGCGAGCTGTCCGCTCTCAGGCGGCATCGGGAACTTTGCGATGTTGTGCTGAACGTGGCCAATAGAAAGCTCTTTGCACACAGGTATAGCATACATCTATGTTTATGCTATTATTGTTAAGTCTAGACTTTTATCAACACTCCATTACTGGAATATCAAAAATTTCTTATTAGCATAGAGAAAGATAAATGAGCATGGAGTTAATTTGATGGAAGGTGAATACGCCATTTACATCTTAACAAGAAGCAGTATCGACCTATTCCGGCTTTGGATATGCGAGAACTCATAGACTGAAACTGAGATTAAACTAATAAAAACCCAAACCACCACCAACCTCTATTGTAACACCCTCTAATCATAAACCAATTGCGTACGGCAGGGTTATCTTGTCAGCGTGCAGTCCCTACTTCCGCGCGATGTTCACCGGAGAGTTGGCGGAGTCCCGCGCCACCGAAGTCACCATTCGCGACGTGGACGAACACGCTATGGAACAGCTGATCGAGTTCTGTTATACCGCCCACATTGTCGTCGAGGAGAGCAATGTTCAGGTGCTGAGAGCGTTACACGATTTAAATAAAACACTTAACATTTTAAAACGCAAAATATATTCGTACTAACTAATTTGATTTTCTTTACCAGGCAAAGCGTTGGGCCTCAGTTGAAATAATTTTAACTATTATATTTTCCGTTTTAAACTGTTAAAGTATTTTTTTTAATGTGTCGACGATATTCCTATCATGCTCGCAATTTTTTTTTTAATGTGTCGGCACCCAAATGATTTATTTACTTGCAGTTCCGACTTCTTAAGAATGATTTCTTATATATTTTTATATAAAAATAGATTTTATTGGGCAATTTATATATTTGTAATTTATACCAATAACAAACGATACAAGTGTTTGGTTTGCATCTCAATATTTAAAAAAATTCAGGCGCTGCTGCCCGCTGCCTGTCTGCTACAACTGCAAGAAATCCAGGACGTGTGCTGCGAGTTCCTCAAGCGGCAGCTCGACTGCTCCAACTGCCTCGGCATCAGGGCCTTCGCAGACACGCACTCCTGTCGGGAACTACTGCGGATCGCTGACAAATTTACACAACAGAATTTTCCAGAGGTGAACCAGATACATAGTATATGCAATTGACTACAGAATGTAGGTGTCATGTAAATTTTGAACGGTGCCAAATTTGAGGCAGCGTTTATGTAAACACAGCTTTCTATGCTGTTTACTGTTTAGTATGTAATCACTTAATAGGTAATGTGTAGACACTCGTTCAAGTCAGAGGACGCACTTTACTTCGCCAAACACTTAGCTATTCACTTTCAACATAATTGGATCTCGCTTGCGTTCACCCTTAACCTTGAACCGAATTATGTAGAAATGCCATTGAAGTGAACGATGAAGTCGGAAGTGCTAATGCTCTAAATATGATCTAACAGCATTAGCCTCGGTGCAGCGAAATATTTCAATGTCTTTCGTGCGTCGAGCGCTCCTTTCGAAACACAATGCCCCTTGCGCCTTGTCTCAGTAACCGATAACAATGAAGCAATCGTTGCAAACACATTTTCACAAAACCATATCTAAGTATGAACTCGTCAATAATTATGACTTTGATTTTGGACTCTCCAGTTCTCTGGAAGCATTAGAAGCCAAGTTAGGCTAAAAGGCTCTCGCGGTCAAGGTGTCATGATAGTCATACGTAATGCACAAAGACATTAATGGTATAGGTATTGTATAATAATAAAGTTTTATCATTGTCTTTCGGGCTGTTCGGCCGATGTGAGCGAGAAGAGGTTCTCGAAGTTTCGCCATCACGTGTGGACGGCATCATCAGATGTTAACTCCTCGATTATGATTAACTCTTCGAGCAATCTAGGCCAAACAGTCCAAGAGACAATGATATGCTGAACCTTGGCCGTGAAAGCCTTACACAATTTAATAAAGTTTTCTTCATAAAATTATGCTTATATTGATTTTCGTTTTTCCCCCACCAAATAAGAGCATATAATCTATTATCAATGCAAAGTTTTCAATTACGTGTTTCAGGTGATGGAGAGCGAGGAATTCCTTCTGCTACCAGCGGCTCAGCTGATCGACATAGTATCCTCCGACGAGCTGAACGTCCGCTCCGAGGAGCAGACCTTTCAAGCTGTTATGTCCTGGGTCAAGTACAACGTCGCTGAGAGGAGGCAGCATCTTGCGCAGGTCATTTTTCCTCTATATCAATAAGTGGAGATGGTATGGACCATTCATCAAGAGTGACGTCATTTTTTGATCATCTTGGACAAGCCATAGTGTTTACCAGATATTTTCCATTCACTTTAATAAAACCGCATGAAATGGCATCCTACATATTTTTACTTCATATTTAATTCCAGGTGCTGCAACACGTGAGACTGCCATTGCTTAGCCCTAAGTTTCTCGTGGGAACGGTCTCTGCGGAACTGTTGATACGCGCCGATGACGCTTGCCGTGACCTCCTCGACGAAGCCAAGAACTACTTGCTGTTGCCGCAAGAGCGACCTCTCATGCAGGGACCGAGAACGAGGCCGAGGAAACCCACTCGAAGAGGTGAATAGTATTTTCACGTTTGTGTATACACCTCTGGTGCAATACATTGAAAAGCGCTCCTTTAATCAATTTAGAAATTATAGTTAAATTAATTTTTATAAGTTCTCGTGTCCAATTATGGCGTTAGCATATGTTATTCGAATTTATAGAATAACATGGTTTGAATTTCAGGAGAAGTGTTATTTGCCGTGGGTGGGTGGTGTTCCGGCGACGCTATTGCCTCCGTGGAGCGATTCGAGCCAGCCAGCGGCGACTGGAAGATGGTCGCGCCCATGAGCAAACGACGCTGCGGCGTAGGCGTGGCCGTGCTCCACGACCTACTATACGCCGTGGGCGGTCACGACGGCCAGAGTTATCTCAACAGTATCGAGAGATACGACCCCCAAACGAACCAGGTACTACTTACATTATGAGTTTTATCGTGATTTGGAATAAAATTGAAGAACAATTAGTTTTGTACTGACATCTAATGTGGTAATGGCAGTGGTGCGGTGCGGTCGCTCCGACGTCGTCTTGTCGCACGTCGGTGGGCGTGGCCGTGCTCGAGGGAGCCCTATACGCGGTAGGGGGACAAGACGGGGTCCAATGCCTCAATCATGTCGAGAGATACGACCCCAAGGAGAACCGATGGACCAAAGTAAGCCGAGATTTCTCAATATCAATTTCTTATATTCTTTTGATTTCACTGTATCTGGCATCGACTACTGTAATATTTTGCTTTGATCGTCATATATTTAAGCCTCCTAATAATGTTTGCAGGTGGCCGCCATGACGACTCGGCGGCTCGGAGTGGCCGTAGCGGTGTTGGGCGGGTACCTCTACGCGGTGGGCGGATCCGACGGACAGTCGCCGCTCAACACGGTGCGTACACGCGTATACCTTGTAGGAATTGTTTCACTTCAATTATTTCACATGTGGCCAGACACAGAGCGACCCCAGTTCCCATTCAGTCAGTCAAAAATCGCCGTGGGTTCGAATTACTGGGTCCAACGTGCAATCAAATCAACTTATACTGTTCTGGAAACATGTTGGCCTACATCTGAAATGTGGATTTAAAATGGGTGGTAGGAAAATAAGTATAACGTCAGTTACAAAACATATGAAGTTTCCTCGTTCCATTTCAGTCTCTCGATTTCCGAATCGTCAAAGCCGGGGTGGGTCAACAGCGATTTTCACCTTCCATTTAGTGAACTTCGTGCTCGTCTCATCCTCGATCGCAAGAAAGCATTGCGTATTGTAGAGCTCTGATGCCAACATTGAATGATATCATTCATCCATGCAGGTGGAAAGGTACGATCCGCGGGCGAACAAATGGACGGCGGTGGCGGCGATGTCGACGCGGCGCAAGCACCTCGGCTGCGCCGTGTACGACGGACAGATCTACGCGGTCGGCGGAAGGGACGACTGCACTGAGCTCTCCTCGGCAGAACGGTATGACTCGTACCTTCTCTTCTATTCTTTATTTTATAGCATATGCTAAGAGCGGTTCTGTGGGACTGGTATCTTGAATAGTAAAACAATCACCAGTATTTCGTTGCTCTATAAAGAGCTTTTTTTGTTATTTCCTTACCTATTTTACATTGGAAATACTTTTACTTAACAGAAATACAATCGAGAACGTCTTTAAAAAGAGAAACAACATGTCAATAACATTATAAAATTTATTTCGTAAATATTGTCTCCAAACTTTTCATCTGTTAACACATAAACAAAATTGTCTTATATGAATAGTTTTACGTTACAAGTTCAAATAGTAGACACTAAAGTAGTTATGCACATATTTAACATATATTCGTATGTTCAGTAACACATATTAGACAACGCGTCCAATATAAATGTGTTTCAGATATGAGCCATCGACAGACACGTGGTCGCCCGTGGTGGCGATGACGTCACGACGGAGCGGAGTCGGACTCGCCGTAGTCAACGGACAACTCTACGCGGTCGGAGGCTTCGACGGAACCGCCTATCTCAAATCTATCGAAGTATATTTTTTACAATTATATTGTTATTGCTGGGATTTCAACATTATTAGCTTAAAATGTTTATAAGAAGACGTTTCGAGAAGGTAATCGTGTGGTATGTACAGGTCTATGACCCCGAGTCGAACCAGTGGCGACTTTGCGGCGCCATGAACTACCGGCGCCTCGGGGGCGGCGTCGGCGTTATGCGAGCTCCACATCATGACAATCATTACATATGGTGAGGGTTTTACAAGTTAGAAGACCCTTCGCTGCGCTTAGTAATGGAGACAAAATAGACTAACATTTCTACATACTTTGTTCCAGGAACCGAAAAGACTCCGTGGTGTGAGTGAGATCTCCACAAAGGTTAAGAACGTTACTCATTTTATTTTATTGTTAAATGTATATTATAATTGCCTATTTATAAATAAAGAAAATAAATTTTAGACTATTACCATGTGGAATTTTATTCTAAATTGTGTCATTTATATTTAAAGGCGTGAAACCGCTAAAGATGCTCGTGTCAAATTAAATAACTCGCAGGGCGGAATCCCATTGCGTTGTTTCGGAGACATCTTTTGGTGTGATTTAATTGAAAAATCTGAAAGACCGATGATTTTACCAAAAACAGTATAAGTACTTCTAGTCTACAAGCCACCACCGGCAGCGCTAGATCGCATTGGGCGGTGGAGAAGTGGCTTTATCTTGGTGCGTTTCTTCTTCCTCCCCCTCCCCTTCCACCTCGGCTCCGTCGTCCTCGGCTGAGCCGTCCATCGTATCACCGTCCTCTGGTATTTCCGTAGATACCTCGGCTGTTTCGTCTCCCTCGTCTTTTGTCTCGTGACGCTTCTGTTAAAATGATAAACATAAAAATCTATTTGTTTCTCTAACATAAAATCGTTCCAGGATTTTTAATGAAATTGTACCAGAGTAGCTTCTCTAATTGGATAACACATGGGCTATATTTGTTAAAGAAAAAGTTTTTGGAACAAACAATAATATTAGTTCCCCGGACAAAACTAATAATTGTTACCTTTTTCTTTTTCTTCGATTTCGGTTTGGGCTTATGCTCGGGTTCACTGTATCCTGATGGAAAGAACCTGCTGCACTCTTCAGCTCCGACCACGGTATCCTCGCTCACGTGCAAAGGCCCCAAGGTCAGGAGCTCGTCTGGTGGACCCTCGGGCATGTCCTGGGGGACCACCAACGCTGGCTCAGTTACTGCGACGGCGATCATTAATGCGATGGTTTCAGAACTGAAATAACAAGTATGAGGTTATTCTATAACTTCTATACTAAAAATTTCCGCTAAAGAACGTTGCAGTCATGGAAACTAATATCACAATTACCACAAAATATATATTTAACACCGTCCATTCGAAGTAAACACAAACTCACATTACTATTACAAAATCATTATATACTTTCTGTAGCTTACGCGAGTAGTAACTAAACGTTCAAATACAACACTTTAACGGTTTAAAACGCGATGTATATTGGTTAAACTTATTTGGAAATATTTTAACTATAGGCCGACGATTCGAAAGCTTTGCAAAGTATTTATTTAAAAATAATTTTGTTTTTATTTACAATCAGTCAATTCTAAGTATAATAAGTTCTTTGGCGTGAGCGTAACGTAAAAAATGTAATGTGTCATATACGTACTAATCCTTCTCAACTCTCTCTTCGTACTTGTCGATGTTTTTAGCCAGTAGCTTAGGTTCTTCGAGGTTAGCGTCAGTAAAGAAGCCATACCGCAGCAAGCTGTTGGCCAGCTTAGGGCTCGAGGTGACCGCGAGTATAGCACGGCGCTGCCAAGCTCCGAATATCATCAAGAGATGGGGGGGTTCCGCGGGTAGGAGAGGTTCTACTAGGGAACCGACCATCTATTGGAAGAGGGCACATTACAAAGTTTCATGCTGCAAAACATTTATTTGTCCCATTTAGTCGATGAGGAGATAAATGAACCTTTGGAAACAACAAGTCCAGCGCAGCCGCCCTTTGATGCCGGTCTGCCGGCACGAACAGTCCCGGCACAGAGTTGGCTGTCAGCTCTTCCGCCAGGAACTTTTTCGTTTCCTCTTCTTCAGCTGCTATACCATCGCCAATGAGGGCTTTGCGAGTTAGTTCTGTTAATATTTGAATTAATAGGTTAGTACCAAAATCTATTTCTGTTTCTTCTGAGACAGACTAACTACTCGCTACTTAATACCACACAAACGTGTAAACGTTTGCACCTAGGACATTTCCCTCTTTGTCCGGTAGCTTCTTGAGCAGTAGAGTCAGTGAGGGCCTATCTACCATCGCTGCACAGGCCGCTTCGGTGCCTAAATTCTCATCCTCTAATGCGAGCATTCGAAGTCCGTCCTTGTTCAGCACTAGGGGACATTTGTCAGCTATCACTACTCCTGAAAAATCGGGTACATACTGCGGGTTATAACTGCAAATCAAAATGTATTCAAATGGTGGTGATGATATATCACTGTAATTTGAAAGCAGACTTACCGTACGGCTCTAGAGCGTCTGCGACTTTGCGAAGGTGCTTCTGGGCGTGCGGCGTCATCAGCGCCGGACACACGTCGTTGAAGTGGCACTCCAGCCTCTTGGCCCGAGCTTCCCGCCGAGCTAGCTTCGCACTCGCAGCCGCCGCGGCTTCCTTGGCTCTCCTTGCGTCTAAAATCTTCTGTTGAGCTAATGCGACTTCCTTGAACCGTTTAATTATGACTATTAACTTTACTACCATTGTTTCAATCAACAGACAGAAAATACGAGTTATTATTTTGTTACTACTGTTATACAAATATCTTCATATTAAATATACACCATATACACGAGTCCGACCTGCTCTTGGGGCGTAAGCTCGTGTGGAGCTCGCTGGGGCCTTTGCAATTCGCCTTTTCGCACCAGCTCTTCATTCTTCAGTTCTTGTTCGATTGTGCGCGTCAGACGAGGTGCGTCTGCGCCGAATACGACGTTTAGAAGCTGACCGTTCTGCAACACGTAGGAAGAGTTGTTCGGTGTGTTATATTAATTATTTGTTTGCAAATTACAGGATAATGTAAATAAAAATCTAAAAAGGGCATATGTTGCACGTTGGTTGAAATTTCTACGAAAATAGTATTAGTCCTCGTACAGACGTAGAAACAGTTTCGTATATCTCAAAGTAGGTCAGGCCACTACAAAAGAATAAATGTGTGGTGTCGTTGTATGTCTGGCTTTAGTTTGGTCGATATACCCCGTGTGCCCTTTCGGAAGGTTATTACCCATAGCACCTACACATGTCACTTTCTACCTACAGTACGGTGTATTGCACTGTTTACCGCTCAAGTCAAGGGTCTATTGCCAAGTCAGTCGCAGGTAGTTACATAATTATTACAACTACGTGAACAGCGTAGTTCCATGCGATTTGCACCCGCTAATTACGAAAGTTTCAAAGTTTCGGTTCTCTACATTTCCGCTATTAATCAACCCACCCTGGGTGGTATTGTGGTATAGGTGTATATGGTCTCAGGGCTAACTCACTGCTAGGAGCATCCACGTTGGTTCACTACGATTTCTGAACCTTTTCAGGTCGGCTATCGTGTCCGCTTTTGCCTGCGAGAAAGGCTACGAATGAGTAACTTATTAAAAAATAATAATATCATTAGAAATGTTAATTTTAACTAAAACATAAGATATTTCGTTATTCATTATTGCCATGCTGAGAGGCCTTAGGTTTGATACGGAGAATAAAAGTGTTATTCAGGACGACAATCTATTAAAGCAGTTTTATTGTGGCAAAAAAATATAACATTTAGTCAATCGTAGACTCAAATCACGCCCATTTCACGAATAGCTCTGCAATTAATAAAGGGATAATTACTATGGCTAGGTGCAAATTATCGCCTCCGATCTCCACTTTAATTTTTTTTAGGTTTCCGACCATTCCAATGCAAGGACCACACCACTCCGTGTACACGTCGATGACTGTAAAAGAGATGATATTCATTTTTAAAAACTTGTTAATTTTTACAAGTGAAACAATTTTATTTAGTCAAGCAACCAAAAAAGATATCATATTCCTATCGATCCTTGTCTTGCCAGGCTGGACAAGTAGGCTTCGCAATGATAAATCTCTTCGCCAAAGCATTGCACAGTTATGTCATATTTGCACATTACATATATTTATTAATGGTGAATAATTACAAAGCTAATTTATCACGTATCTTTCACCAAGGTATGGTGGTTAACCACTTTTAATAAACAACACAAACATAATTTAATCAAATCAAATATATATAATCATAATTTAATTAAATAAATCAAAAGTTATTTAAATTAAAAAAATATATATGTACCTACTAGGAGAGCCTTACGCTGTAGGGGTGGCTGCTAAAACTTTTCGTCATAACAGGGATACTATTAATAAAAAGCAGTAAAGAATTAGCAAAAAAATAATAGGGATAATTAAAAATGGGTTCGAATTCCCGCTCTCTTAGTACTCTAAATACTAAATACACTTTTACCAACCGAGAAGTCCATCTCTATGAACAAACTTGTTCCATTCGTCGTCAGTGTTCAGCTCAGCCTGAAGTTGCACCTGAGCTGCTTTCTTGCCTGCACCGGCAGCGGCAGCAGCAGCAGCGTGGGCGACCGCACTCGTGATAGACATCGCCGCGAGTGAAGAATAATTCCGCCCCATCGCGCCATAGTCGTATTAAGTTCAGGAATGGGCATGAAAATTTCACGTAGAATTTTAGTAATTATAATGAATGAATAAGTGAAAAAACTCGATTTTTTCCGAATCTTCCGAATTTCGTTAATAACTGATAAAAATCGCAAAAAGGTAAAATACCTTTTATCCTAACAAAATAATACCTAAATTTGCAAAATATGCGCCAAACAGTTTGAAGTTGCACTATTTAAGTTGTCGATTGATTTTAATTTTTATGCATTGCCTGCTAGAGATTGACTAATAAGAATAAAGTACGTTATAGACTGTAGGAAATTGTTTAATCTAAACACTAAAAGATCTATGTCTTCGTTTGGAAAATTTTCTTCTTCGTATAATATTATGATCACCGGTTTTTAAAAAGTAAACTTTTAAAATAATATAACTAATCCCAAAATAAAATAAAAAAAGCTTCTTGAAAGCTTTAATTAATATTGTTTTTGTTTGCGCTGCCATCTGTTAGCAGTATTGTTGTATTCATACATATGACAATAGAGAGCGCCACCCAAATTTGAACTGTCTATTGGAACTGTTTTGCTTTCGCTTTCACTAGATGGTGCTTAACTAATTTTTGTAATCACTGTCGATGATACACGGAAATGTAAACTGCTAATAAATTTAAGTTTTTAATGAATTATATTTAGTAAAGTTTTTTTTCGTATATCGGACTGTTGCGTTAAGATAAAATATTTTACAGAGTAAAGCGAATTTTGTTTTTTATCTGGATTAAATAGGTCTACCTGCTTAACGTTTGCATAATAATAAACTAATACACATAAGAATATTTAATTGCAATTTTTAATAATAATAATAAAAAATATCATTATCCAGAGAATGAAATAGCGATGTTAAAAATAAGTGAAATAATATATTTTGCGTTTTAAACCGTTAAAAATGCATTAATAATAAATATTTCTTAGTGCATTTCATCGCATTCATTCATACAAACAAATTGGTAATATTGTAGTACAGTAATATTATACCTTTTGGGTTTCGCGTGATTTAGACAGTCCCAGTTATTAAGTAAGAAGTAAAAGAATTCGATTTTTTCACAAATCGCGGATTTGCATGACCGAATGTCACCAAAGTTGCTTCCGTCTGTGATCGTAATAAATCGCTGTTCGGGTAGAATTAATGTAATAGCTGATTTTGCAACTGAAAATTTTCCAACCGATTTCTTTTATGCGAAACCACCACTTTCTTCAGTCTTTTTTGGACAACCTTGCGTCCACAACATCTACATACTTTAGTTGCGTTTAAAAATCGCAGATTTGATTACCGCACATGCAAAATAACAGCCCACTCTGTTATTCGTAGTACATTTCCGTTTAATGAACACAACGACCGTGTTTTGCACAATTAAAAGAGGATTTCTCCTGATGAGTCACTTGGGATGAGGGATTTGTAGGAACGCGAGCTTCAAATATTAATTAAAACTATTTTTTGAACTCCTACTGCGGTTTGCAATAGGGTGCGGTTTGCGCTTGTTGATTTAAATTTGCAATAGTACTTTACTTTAAGTCTATACTAATATAATACGGCTGCAGGGTTTGTCTGTTTGTTTGAGTCCGCTAATCTCAGGAACTACTGCTTTGTATTGAAAAATATTTGTTTTGTTTGGAGTCGAGAAATATATAATAATATTTTACATTTTTTATATAAAAGATGATTATTTTATGATATATTTTTAAAATAATATAAAAAATATCTGCGTCTATATTAAGATTAGCTCACAAGAATGGTTCTTATGGTAATATGGTGAGAGATGCACATGTCAAGAGATCAACTTTTTTTAATTTAAAATTTAATAGTCTTAAGAAGTCAAAAAAATAAATTAAATACTGACGTGACAGTCGCATCTCACTTCTTAGAAAAACTTCTTCCCAAACTTAACACGGCACACACTGGAGTAAAAATGAACAAAATTAATAATGGCAACAAATAACTTTTGTTCACTATAATATAACGCAGGGAAGAAAGGTCACCGATCGAAATGCAGATAGGTTGCGTAAAATGAAATTAGTCCGAAATTAGAAGGAAGGCTTCGAAGGCAAGGCACCGGTATAGAAGTCACCGCGGTACTGTAAGGTTGTATCGGTACAGGACTTGTAGGGTTGACAAACAATGAATAGTTCCCTCGTGTTGAAAACTAGCTGTGGTCGCGACTTCGTTCGTGTTGAATAGTTATTTTGGGCAGAAAAATTTGTTTTTGCAAACCTTTTAAGTGGTACCTTCGACGTCGTCTGCACCCCGTCGTTCTTGCAAGTTAAACTTAGAAGATATAAATACTGTTGTGGACATTTTTTTAGGTCACCTTAAGAGGAATCATTCTTTCATTAATATTTTTGGGTATCTTGAGCCGTTTTCATGAATAGTTTTCCCCGTTTTTTTTTTACATTTCCCACTGTTTCTTTGCTTCTATCGGTCACAGCGTGATGCTTTAAAGCCTTTATCGATAAATGGTATATCCATCACAAAAATATTTTTTCAATTCCAACCAGTAGTTCCTGAGATTAGCGCGTTCAAACAAACTAACTCGTCAGCTTTATAACATTAGTATAGTTGGCTTAGTCTTTACCTTTGCGTAAAGTGTTGGGTAACGTTTAACGTACTATGCGTACAGGAATTTCCTTTACTTACAACACCAGCAGTAACCGAAATGAATTTCGGAAAACACTTTTAACGGTTTAAAACGCGGAGCATATCTATAAGTTAACTTTATTTTAATTAACAATTATTTCGAGAGAGGAGACGTGGGCAGCCCTGGGGCCACGGCGTGGCGGGCTCAATTAGTTCTTAGGAGCACGCGATCTTACCCCACGGTAACTTAGCATAATTCAACTATATTCATTTCGCGAATGAGTTATGCCCGTCGTCTTTATGTTGATTCGGGACATCGTTCATCCTGTCGTGTCCCCGTCCCGTTTGATACGACTTTAATCTAATTTGCCTTTCGCCGTTCCTCTTCAATGGCTCTCTGAACTAGCTCCTACTTATTGTATCATCCAGCAGATAAGAACTTTTCAGATAGAAATAAAGGCTAAGTGGTAAGATTATTACGATTTAACAAATTACGATTTCAATAGAACTTCTTTATTTTTGTGTTGGTTAAAGCATTTATCGAGGAAGGCAATAGACACGTCGCAATGTGACTAAACAGCGAAGAAACAGTGGGAAATGTGGAAAACACGGGGAAAATTATTCATCTGTGTGGATTACCAATCCCAACGCTGCAAAAACGGTTCAAGGTACCCAAAAAATATTGATAAAAGAATTATTTTTCTTTAAAGAATCTAAAAAAATGTCCGCGACACTATATGCCTCTCTTTTAATATTAATTTGCAAGAACGACAGGACGCGACCGACGCAGCTAGTTAACTTAAATTCATAAAGATAAGGAGGAGGTTAGCCAAAAAAATTTGCATGCCCAAAAAAAGAGGTGACTACGCGGACGAAGTTGACACGGCTAGTGAGTTTATAATATTTTTCTAAAATATTTTGGACTTCGTTTGAAAATTTGGATGTTAAATGAGTGGTGGGAATATTATTCGACATTCCTTCCGAGTCACAGATCACCGTCCAACGTGGAAAAAGCTGTGAAGTCTGTGGATTTTACAATATAAAATCAAAAAAGGCCGTTAGTGCATACTGATGACAAGTCAAATGGGGGTGTTTCATCTTCCGTCAATTGAATCCCACACTCCTCTGTCCTCATCCATCATAGAAACAGTAGCTTGTAATGACTCTGCTATAATTTGGTTACGCATGAAAACATAACCTCGAGACACACGAAATGCCCATAACAATATAGCAATTGGGCCGCTCGATTAATTCGGAGGTTCGTCCGGGGGCTAGACCGGACGGGTAATCTTTGTTCGTGACGTCCGGGGATGAGATACTGAACTCTCATTATGTCGGTTAATTGACTGCCTGGCTATGATGTGTTCCTTCAAATTCACTCAACGCCACGCGGTTTGCCCCATAAACTTATAAAACACGTAAGCTTTACGCATAAGTACCTTCCTTTTATATAATTTTCCTTGGTCAAATAAAACGGTATTTCTTGGTTCTAAACTCGTGTATTTACAATGAAGCAAAAAAAAATACCTAAACATCATTGAATTTCATAATTAAATCAAAGTTTTTTTTTAGATATGGACTAATATTAAGTACTACGCTATACACAAACAGTAATAATAATTCGAAACTTCTCACAAGAACAAAAACAATATCTTTTGTATGAAAGAAATTTCGAGTTGACAAAACAGTTACAATACAATTTAAATAAAACACTTTAACGGTTTAAAACGTGATATATATTAGTTAAACTTATTTGAAAATGATTTTTAACTTCGGCTCGATGTTTCGGATGCTTTGCAGCAGCCGTCTCCATTTAACACCGTCAAAGTGTTTTATTTAAATGTGTACTACTCGCGTAATCTACAGACAGTATTTAGTTACAATACAATCTATTTAAAATATAATTATTCACTAACCATAGTTATCAGTCTCAGAGAAATTAAAACTAAGTGTATGATACATTATAATACATTTATTCTTCATACGATATTTTCGTTTGCATTGCATAGTTGTTTTATTAAGTTAATGACTCGATTCGAACCCACGGCCACAGCCTACAGCAGACGACAGCTCTGCGAGCTGAGTTTTTGTCTGTAAGTAGATTAGAATAATGCATAGATGGTCATGGATCGAGTCCCGTGCGAATAATTCAAGATTGCAAAATATATAAATTAGGTATGAGGTCGACTTCTCTAATGGATTCAAAGGAAGTTGATTGATTTCCAAATAACTATCAATTTTGAATCCTTGTCTTTTAGCTAAACAAATGGCTTTAAAAAATTGGCGTATTGTTTCAATAATGAAGAAAATATAATGAAAACAATATCTTGAACCTCTAATAAAGCTCAAACTTTTTTGCATGTGGCAATTATACAAAGTGGTCGTAAGGTGACGCCTTGTGACGTGACCTTAGATAATAGTAACGTTTACTATATAATAACACAACTACTACTAACATATTTTTAATTTCGTCTTTACCTATCTAAATTTAATCTAACTTTAACTTTTCCAGCAACCTGGTCGTGATTCTTCGTTTTCCAGCACTGAAAAAAAATTTTTTTTTAAAGAGATAGGTACATAAAATACGCGAAAAATCTTCTTGACCATTTCTTATCGTATAGTTTTTCCAAAAAATATTTCTAACTCTTATGTATCTTGTTACTGAGTAAGAAAATTTAATCGCAGCGATGTACATTTATGTAAATATGTATTAATTAATTAAGTCTAATGAGAATTGTTGTCAGAAAAACTCGTGGGAATATTTTTTGCGCAGACGCAAAATTTAATATTATCTTGTCTACTCGGAGTCTTAAATATATTATATTTACGACTATTTGGTTAAACACTTTAAATTTAAAAGAGGCCAGTTGAAAAAGCTAAATGAGGATAATTTAGAATATAAATTATTTCTACATATACGCTTAATATTTGTTTGTCCCTGTTTATATTGGAAACAAGTTTGTTAGTAAACAGGTTTCTGTTTTGCTAGTATTATAAAAAACGGTTATAAGGAAAGCAAACAACAATCGGCGTGACAAAGCCAATGTATAAATTAGCTATAAACGGCCAACAAATGAAGCCGGTGGACAGTGATCGACAAAAGCAAGGTGGAAAAGGTAAGTGCGTTATTTGAAACAGATTTGAGCGTAAAACCAATGCCAGTTAATTGGTGCAACGAACCGATTGGCGCGAAACGAGTCTATTGTAAATCAACGCATTGTTTTATCAGTGAAATCGACGTTTGCACATATTATATTCTTTATAATGGACATTTACAATCACGGCGACTTCACCCGCCTAATATCAGATCAAATGACTCAAACCATGGGACGACAACGCATCATGTTTAGGTTTTATATAGATGGAGTATTCAGTTTATGTGGACCCCTATGATTATTATGGGTCCGACTTTGGAAAATGGCCGATATACAAAAAATTCAATACTGTACTGCTTTATTATTATTTTGGATACGAAATTCAAGTAATGAATAGGTAGCTTCTACGCCGTCTTTCACGGAAGCAAGATCTGGTTTCAAACTATATGTATACAAATATTTTTTAAAAACTATGTATACATACTTAATCAGGAAGTTCAACTATTAAAATTTGTATGCGTACATATCTTGATTAAAATTCTATTTGTATTTAAATAATGCCACTTGTGACGTCATTATTATGAAAAGATTTAAAAGAATATATTTTTAGCCGTTTTAAAAGTATAATTTAAACATTTACATTAGTCGTGGACTAATAATAGTTCGTTTGAAAAATGATCGCGAAGAAAAATGTTTTAGAGTTAAATTTGTTGACTTTGGCCAACGTGCGAGATTAAATGCCCCAACAGCATAAGGTCGGAGTTCCAGAAGAACCTATTAAAAGGGGGAACAAACTACGTGAGATTTGAAGGAACGTTTTTGTTGGACCGAAAATTGTAATTCAAGTTTACAATATAAGTACATACATTTAATTCACACTTCAAGGCCTGTTCTCGTTTCCTCCCATTATTTGTAACCTAGATATACTCCTTCTGGAGATACACAAAGGCCTGTCTAGAAATATCACGGAACCTAATCTTGTATGACGTTAATTGCGATCAGTTTTGAATAAACGAATAATACACGTGATATAGTTAGGCTTAGAGTAGTTTTTAATACTGATTTATCGTATTCGAATACGTAATTTAGATATTTCTTATAAATGTTTCAGTGGATGTAGAGGTTTGTGTTCGTAATTTGCTATCACAAGAAATAGTACCTGATCAAATGATATAATTCCTGTCGGGCTGCCGACAGCCCAGAGCGAACGGCCAGCTCCGGACGCGCCAGGCCCCCGCCACGTTGCCCCGAAGGAGGGCCACCACATCGTCCAGGTACCTCACCGCTTGGGACTGGGCTGTCAGCGCCCGCGCGACCGCCGCGCACCGCCGCGCACGAGCCGATTCAGCCTGCAACGGAACTAGGATTAAATTCTTCTATGTGGTAGGTGTATGGAGCTCGACTGAGTAACTCACTAAATACAGTTTTACTTTAAGGTAATATTATTCAAAGTGAGTTTTAAAGATTTGGTTCATATAGCCCTGCAAAAAATGAAATCAGTTTAATGTACAAGTCTGAACGATTATCGTTCATTTGGGAATTTGTGAATGTGTGATCCCATTATTTAAATACGTGTAAGTAGGTCAAAGTGAACTAAGCTTGTGTAAAAATTAGCTGTAACCGCACATTTCCGGAGGGGCTGCAACGACTGCGAGGGAAGTGGGGTTCATATCCGCCCGTTGAACATTACAGTGGTCGTAATACATATTGTTATGGATTCATCTAGATCTATAAACATTCCAGCGTATTGTATTGTGCCCCTCAAATGCTGAAAACTTGTACCATTTCGATAATGGGATACAAAATTGTATGAAAATACATTCGTGTATGTCTTTTATTTTTAGTTAATGCTACATTGTAAGGGTATATACTGGTTATGTGTAAGATAGATAAAACAATATTATGCTTCGCTAATGCCCTAAACTCGAGATCAAGAAGGTTAGCGAAGGGCCGACATAGTTGACCTTGCGTTGTCCATGGCTTAGAAACCCACCAAGTGGTAGTAAATAGATTTTCTTATATTTTGGCTGTCGCCTTTTCGCTATGCTTTACCTATACTAACTACTAGCCGTTACGCGAGTAGTACACATTTAAATAATACACTTCTACGGTTTTAAATGCGATCTATCCCCATGAACACGGCTGCTGCAAAGAATCCGGAACGTCTAATAAGTTTAACTAATAAATATCTATCGTATTTGAGGTACTTAATTGGATAAGAGTCAATGCTGTATTGATAAAATTCGCTTGGAAAATTTGCCATTATTTGGCATAAAAAGTGAATGACAAAAAATGTTATTGTGGGATAAACATACCATCGCGCGTTTTTCTTTAGACCGCTTTACTGTGTACAATAAATAAGTAAGTAAGTAATACAAAGTACATTATTTTGATATATCGTGTAGGGTTCAGCCTATGTTTGCAAGGTATATGAAAAACCGACATTATTTATTTGAAAACCTCAAAATAGTATATCTCTACTTAACGGATGTTATGATATATATAAATCTTCCTTTTGATTCATTATTGAATCTATTAAAAAACCGCATCAAAATCTATTGCGTAATTATTATGCGACAGAAAGCGACTTTTTTTTATTATGTAATGAAAATTAATATAAAGGGGAACGATATCTCTAGCATAAAGCATTACCTTACTGAAATTCTTCCCTTTGGATGTATGAATGAAAGATGTATTGACTTGTAATTAATTAATAAACCATCACCACATGACAACAAGCAAGAAGTTTGACTTTTTTGTACATCTCTTAATTATTTATACTCGTTTACTTAGTAGTTTCGGCGCTACAATGGGACATACAAAAGCTACCTTAAAACGGGCGAAGTCGACATACCGTCAAAAGGCCTTCAAGTTACGTTAAAAGTAAATAATATTGCGAGATACATTAACAATAATTGGCACATTGATAAGAAGTGATAATGAACTCGTAACTTAAACAAACTGCATATTGATAACATGCAACTGTCGGTTAATTTAAAGATTTGTTATTTTTATATAAAATGTATTATTCCGATTGTTTATTAGAGTTTGTTGACTTTTTGAGAAAGATCTTTTTATATTAAATTCTGCAAATGTACGGTCACAAACCACTGTCCACTTTTCGGCTACAGTCGGTGGATTCCCAAATAACCAAAGCCAAAATAGATCACGTCAATAATTGACATGTTATATGGCTGAGATATTTCCACGTTACAAGTAAAGACTATATTTTCGTGTTTTAAACCGCTAAAGCATAAGTGTTTTATTTAAATGTGTACTACTCGCATAAACTATAGACAGTATTTAAGAGTATGTCTGTTTGTGCACAGTCTATTTTAAACAAAATTAATGTGATATTCAATCAATAAAGAATAAGACATGGGAGTTAAGTACTCTAATAAACCCATATCGATGTTTATTTAATTTCTCTGAGATAATAATATACAGAAAACATTTTGTTAATTCATTTTTCAATCAATGGCGCCTTTTATAAGGTGTTAAAATGCTTATTATTTGTAATATTTATCCAAAAGAATTGAATACTAAAGTTTCATGATATTAATTTTATGACGGACGTTAGATGTTTCCTTTCAAGTAAAACTTCTTACAAAAAAATATGGCGTTCTCTTATCTATCGTTTAAAGACAAAGAGGTTTGCGCAAAAACATGCTCTACAAGGTCGAAAAACTTGACAAACTAGATTAGGTCTACGTAATGATTGAATTAATTATCATTAGCTAATAACTTTCGCCACTTACCTATGATAGTACGCTAAATTGGAGAAGAACGTTTTTGATGAGGAAAATGAGGAGTTGCCTACATAAGCGGGGTTAAGCTGCGACCGATGTGTACGCGCGTTTTTTAAATGAATTGGCGCATTATATCGTTCTCTATATTGATCGATGAATGAACGAATGAGGATAATAGCTACATAAATTAATATGTTTTAATGACGTATACATGGTGTAACTGTACAATATAAAAAAGTGGAAAGTGAAGCGGAATTTTTACTTATATTATAAAGCTGAAGAGTTAATCTTAAGAACCACTGGGGTGAATTGGAAAAATATTTCGGTATCTAAAGAATTGTCCGTGACAGTATAGTCTATCTTTTAAGATTAACTTGCAAGTGAAGTCGTGGATAACAACTATAATGTACAAAGATTAGGAGGAGCTTTGCAAAGCGTGTTTTTATGCCCAAAATAAGAATTCTACGGTGTTGAAGTCGTCGCTCGCTATTCTGCTATATCTAACAACTGGTTTGCAATAAATACGTGGCTATTGTCTTATGACGTCACAGTATCACTAAATCGAAACGTCGTCCTGAATGAAGCTAATGAGGTAGACGTGGGCGGGGACGCAGCGGAGAGCTAATGAAAAGACCGTGTTAACGAGATTACGTCGGTTCGTGTTATCGCGGTTGAAATAGAACCTTGGCGTCACTTTTTAGCGGGAATAATAGCACCATTTGAAAACATTAATATTTTTCACATGTTATTGCACATGAAGGCACTATATAATTTAAAAATCGAAAATAAATTGAAAAAATTTTCGACTCGGGCAGGACTTGAACCGGCATCGTCAGCTTTCCGTGCTGTTGCTCTACCAATTGAGCTACCGAGTCCTACACCTCATCGTCGAATTTTTTCAACTTATTGATACATGCACCTCTCGCGCAATGTAATTTCTACCTTAACACTTGCGTATTAAGGCTCAATGTCTTATGGTTTGCAGCTTAAGAAATCATTGAAGATGAAATTACAAAGTTATAACGTTTGAAAACATTAATATTTTTCACATGTTATTGCACATGAAGGCACTATATAATTTAAAAATCGAAAATAAATTGATTTTTTTTTTTTTTTTTTATGCCTTAACCCGCAAGAGTTAAGGTAGAAATTACATTGCGCAAGAGGTGCATGTATCAATAAGTTGAAAAAATTCGACGATGAGGTGTAGGACTCGGTAGCTCAATTGGTAGAGCAACAGCACGGAAAGCTGACGATGCCGGTTCAAGTCCTGCCCGAGTCGAAAATTTTTTCAATTTATTTTCGATTTTTAAATTAAATAATAGCACCATTTATTCAGGATATGCAAACGCGATATCGGTGCGAGAAGTGAATTGTTCTAAGAGCTCATTGTTGTTTACGCAGAGACTTCAACGCAGTTTTCGAACCGACTACCTACATGACAGATTTATGTGAAATAATTTATTTAGTATTAGACGAGTATCCGTTCGATTTTCCGTGCAACAAATCACATTTATCCACTCTCACATCTTCCCATTCATGAGCCAGAAATGGCTCTAAGTATCTACTGTGCATTATACTAGCCACAGCTGAAGCCAAAGAAACCAAACACCAAATGTGCACAGCGTACGAAGTGGTACGTGGGGCGGTACCGACGCGTCAGGGGTCGCAGCGGGTCACCCGACGGACCAGCACCTGGATGTCCTCGTGGATCTCGGCCAGCTCCTCATGAAGGTTCCTGGACTCCGCGAGCAGGGCGTCCAGGCGTCTCGCGGCCGCCGTCAACCCGTTCTCGTCTTCGTAGTCTTCCTCGTCGTCTTCGACTGCGAGCGCCAACTTCCCCAGCCTCTCCCGCTCCAGTGCCTCCCTGATTCCTCCACCGCGCTTCCGAAATTCCCTCAACAACTCCCGTCGAATGTGACTGCCCGATCTCTCGTCCTCTTCCGCTTCGCGCAGCTCGTCCGCTAGAGACCTCTCCCCTTTCGAGTCTAATCTGCGACGCGGAGTTTCTTTTTCGGCAGTCTGCGTTACGGTCTTCTGTAAGAACCTCCAGGTGTCCTCGTCGTAGGGTTTGACTAGGCCCCGCCTGGGCGCCGGGCGGACGATCGCCTCCAGCTCGTCCCGGCCGGGGTCGTCCGGCTTTAGGAGCTCCAGGATTCTCGCGCGTCGCGGAGATAGCGTGTCGAATCGTCTCAGCCCGTCGATGGTCCCTCGGCACACCTCGACGCTCATGTCGCGCTCCGATGGCGCGCGCGTACGCACTGGCCGCGGGCGGCGCGCACGATACTGTTTTCAGATATTTCGCGAAATCGGATTTCAACGTTAATTAGTGCGCGCCACGAGCTCGCGCGCCTCGCGTCGAATGCAGTCGATACTGAGTTAGCGCGGAGCGGGACTCGCCTTGTACCGTAGTACGACTCGCAAGTAATGCAATTATATATGAGCAAACAAAACCTCAGAGGGATAATCACTTAATTCCCTTATTGCTCTCAATTTAGCGTGCATTGAGCTGTTTTAGATACAACAGGCGACTAAGACACGGGAAGCGCAGTTTTAATACATATTTTAAATTTAATTTCAGTGACAAGTTTTAAAAATATTATGTTTATAAATTAATTTATTTTTGTATAAGTGATATAAAATAAAATCCTATCGTCAGAAATCCTGTCAATTTTTAGTAAGAGCAATTGCACAGAAGGCTGCTGTCGTGAGTTTGAGTCTCGTCTGTAAAGTTTTGGTATCGACAGTTCTTTTATGTTACCTATTTACTTATAGCGATGTCAGTATACGTGTAAGGCGTTATAGTACAGTATTAAAACAAGTTGCATAGAACTTTTAATTAGGCCTATATTTAAAACGATAACAACACTAATACTATAACTATACCTACATTGTCAATTGATACTCAGGTCAAGCAGTTAAACGGGATTAATTAAAATCGGACGATTAAGTCAAAATAAAGAAGCAACATAAGTATATTTTTTTATTAAGTATATATTGCTTTAAAAATAGTATCCAATATTTACATGCAAACTTTTTTTACTTGGTGCTAACTGTAACCTGTTTATGTATATTGGTGTGGAATAAATCATTTGTATATGATAAGTATTGTTATTAATATGAAAAGTCTTCACATTTCAATTTACCTATATTTCTATGCCATAAATCTTGAAGGAATGTACTATGTACAATCCTCAACAGTACATGATATGGGATCAACATACATCGCGGGCTATATTTAAAAGGCTCATAAATGTTGTACAACTAAAACGCATTGTATCAGAAAAATCTAAAGATATCTTGACATAGGATCACAAGGGCACGAGGTAGCGAGTATAGAATTACTGACTATTAAGAAGGTGTTAAAGGCCAACAGTACCGCAGACACCTCGCCTATCCTATCGCTTTATTATCGGAAGCTAGTTATATCCGACTTCTATGTCAAAGTCAAAGTCAAAAATTACATAATATTACATAATTTACATTTACTAAGCTCCAAAATGATGGGCGTAGAGCTGCTACTCCGTTTATTGCCATTGTAACACAGTTTTAATTTAGTCTTCACGTACTTTAAGTGTACTGTAACTTTTCAAATGTATCTCTGTTTTAATAAATATTGAGATTTACTTCTATTCTGATTTTATTAGCTACTAGCTGTGCCAGCCTCATCGTCCGCGAGAATCGTTATTTTGGGTATCCAAAATTTTTGTTATCCATGACGTCGATCGCGTCTCTTCCCGTCGTTCTTGCGAGTTAATCTTAAAAGATAGACACAAATGACATATTTGTTTAGATCGATGCCGATTTTTTTAGATCATTTAAGAAGGAATCATTCTATAATACACATTTTTTAGTTTGTTTTGTAGTGCAAGTTTTCGCAGCGCACGCAACTGAAACCCACCGAGATGAAAAATTTTCCCCGTTTTGTTCACATTTCCCGCTGTATCTTCGCTTCTATTAGTCACAGCGCGATGTTTTATAGCATTCCTCGATAAATGCCCGCAGTTTCTGAGATTAGCGCGTTCAAACAAACAAACTCTTCAGCTTCATATATTAGTATAGATTCTAAGTACAGTTTATGTACTGACCACTGTACAGCCTAAGAATCGGCGTAGTACATTGGCCGTGCTTGGAATTATGATAAATAGATTTTCGACTAACCTAAGCCAAATCAGATCGACAGTGCATCTAATTGCGATTTTATAAGACTGGGGTATTTCGCGATCAAGTGATCTGTCTGTTTTCGAATGCGGGTGAAATTGTTTCGGTCGGGCAGGGCACAGAAGTCTGTCTTACGTGTAAATTAAATCTTTCAGTGAGAACATATAAATGGGATTAGGTATCATGGCACATTATTTCGCACTCCTTGCGCCCGAGTAAGCGGTACCCACATTGACTTGTCGCGATATGAATAGCTGCTTGTAATCGAAAATAGTTAAAACGAGTGAATGAAACCGGTGTCGGTCCGATGCGTGATATTTCACTTTTGTTCAACCCAGATACATGCATTGATAGCTCACTTTCCGCTCCACGGGCCAGGCTTGCATTTTTACCGCATTTTAAACGTGATTATGATTCATTAATTATTTGCTGCTTTACAACAGACTTTTTATATCTGTCGCGGAAACTTTTTTTTTTTTAAATTGTGAAAGTCCCGAAATCAGTACCGTTTTACTTATTTGATTACAACTACAAACAATACCTAAACAAAAGCAAAAAAATAATTTACTGTGTACAAACTTTTCGTATATATATATTTATTTAGTGAAACAGAGAGTCTTTCATAAATATTTCACAATTAGATGTGCTGTAGTGTAGTATGTGCCAAGTAAATGGTGCAACTTTCAAATATAACACTTTTAACAGTTTAAAACGCGAAATAAGTATATTACTTTACTTAATTTAATTTAACTACGGCTTGACGTGTCGGATTTTTTGTAGCAGCCGTGGTCCTGGGAGCATTGGATTCCAATTCAATACCATTCAGGGTGTTGAGGAGTTGTGGCATCGTAGTTGTCTCCAACTACGGACAGTATCAAATTACTAAATCAAATATCAAAGCAATTTAATAATATTTTGTCACCACCTAGGAAATATCTCTTTTACAGCAAAATATTATTATCATTGGTTAATAACGCATATGTTTGAAGTGTCACTCTTTGAAGTCAGGCGGAAAAGGGACAATCATTTCATTCGAACCTTCCGAAAGAACGCTTGAAATTTACAAACTACTTAGTCTTATTTGTTGCGAGTTGTCACTTTTATAGTTCACGTTAGCTTCGTTACTTCGGCCGCGTCACAACAACGTTTTCGCAGTCGAATGCGGAGTTGGGATTGATATCAACCGCAATCCTAATCAAACAATTAATATATGAACCGTCCGCATTCCTAGCGCCACACGCGGCCGGAGCCGTAAACTATGCGTTCATTAGCTGACCACAATTCATTGCAAATTGAAGGCAATGTCTGTCTTGTTGCGATTAATTGCTTTTCATTATAGCAGACAATGGAAATTTGAGAGCCGTGTGGTGCCGGTAGACGCGTGGACGGCGGGGCCCAAGTTCGACAGCGACCTGTCGTTAACCTATCAATAATATAAGTACATTAATATATTACCCAATCCGACAAACGTCGTTTCGATGCAAAATTAATATTATTATGTCGATACAGCTGTAACCGATTATTAATGCACTAACGTCGACATTTTTTGTTTCTCAAACCATTTCACCCTAACGCTCGCGATGGAAGCCCTCAAAGATTAATATTTTTCCACGCTTTTCCACTATTTTCACTGTTTCTTCGGCGTAATGTTTTAAAGGCACCATTTGTTGAGAAAACAAATGGTGTAACCAACACGAACATAATTTTTAAAATCGTAAATACCAATAGTTCCAGAGATAAGCACATTAACCAACAATCACAAACATAAAATTGTTGCTGTAACCGACAAGGGTGCATCTTTACTGTCCAAGATGAGCGGCAAGACCTGTGTGCCCAATCGAGTAATTGATTCAACTGAGTCCCGAGCAATAATTAGAGTCGCGTTATCGCAATCGTCACGACAATTATATCTCGTATCGGCGCGCGTGCGATAAGGTGCGATAGCGCACAATATATCCTTAAATTTGGGGATTTCGTATCATCAACGGTGGTCTGGGGTACCTGAAGGGCGCCCGCGACTGGGCTGAACGGTATTCGAGACCTCTGCTGATCCTGGAGGGACATCTTTTTTATCTCTTTTTCGTCTATCTTGATTGATTGTGTTAATTAATCGAGGGCTCCGATTGCGCGCTACGGCTCTCTGGGGCAGATAAGGTTTTTTGTTAATTTTTTCTGTCAGTTTTCCGGTTCCTGCGGCTGTTTTAACGCAATGTTAGCGCCTTAGGGCTTAGTGTATTATGGTTTTCAGTATGACACGATTGAGTCTTCGTGATGTTTGTTTAAAATGGGTACATCATAGTATAAAATATCCGATTTGCTAAACAATACAACGTCCAATAAAATGTAGAAATATAAAACCATTTTAAATAAAGTAGCGCGGGTTTGTCACCTACGTTTATATTGTTTAAGGCTTTCGAGGCCATTTTTAAGCTAAAGCAGAAATGAAACGCGAAGACTTCGCTCCGTCGAGGAACGCTTGTTGATGTCATACTCACTTGATGGTGAAACGTCGAGAACCATTCCTCAATTAGCCGAACCCCACGAAAACCCAAGTAGCTTTACTTTAATATAATCAGGCATCTCAAAGATTGGCGTTCACATGATTGGTAGAGTGGTCTAAAACATTGTTATGAAATATTATGAAAGGAAAACATACCTTAGAAATACGTTCCGTAAAGAACTTTAAAGATGTCTTTAGAATTTGATTTATTTATTTATTTATTTTATACACAGGTTTTACATATTTTACATCTGTTAAAACTAAAATCTATACAAACTATGATAGTGGTATAAAGATTTACCTATTTTAATCACAATAAACTTTTCTTATAGACTCACTATATATAAAAAAGTGTAGTACAGTATATCTAAAGAGTATGTGATACTAAAAACATATGTGCTACAGAATATATAAATAGAATTTGATTAAAGTAAAAATCAATTCGGATTGAAAAAAATACGACACGGGCGGGACATGACCCGATACCCACAGCAAGCGTAACGTTGTCGATAATATTTTTTGTGAAGAAAGTTTCTTAAACAAGCACGCTAAGGTTATCATAAATTTAGTACGTAGTGCGTCTTCAACTCAAGGTTTCAGCACGGAGCGTTTACTAATATAGATGAGGAAGTTCTAAATTGGGGATTAAAAGAAAGTTTTAAGTTAGTAAAATCTTGGAAAGCTTAAAAGGGTTTTTTAATCGACAAATGCGTACTTACTCCGTTGGCACAGCGACCCAAAAGGAGTCTTTACCTCAGAAACTTGCGAACCGAACGCGAACGCATAATTATTGAACAACTAGCCGTGTCAGCGACTTCGTCCGTGTAGAATATTTTGGGCATCCAAATTTGTTTTTGCAATCCTCCTCTTCATCTTTTTAAACTGAAACTCCCATGACATTCGTCGCGTCCCGTCGTTCTTGTTAATCTTAAAAGATAGACATTTAGTGTTGCGGACACTTTTTTTAGATCATTTAAAAGGAAACATTTTTCATTTTTTTATTGGGAGTTTGAACCATTTTCGCGGCCTACACAACGGAAGCCCATTAAGGTGAATATTTGTCCCACTTTTCCACGTTTCCCGCTGTTTCTGCTCTCCAATTATTAGTCTCATGTCTATGAATAGCCTATGGCCTTCCTCTTTCTAATAATAATCTTTCAATTCAAACAAGTAGTTCCAGAGATTAGCGTGTTCAAACAAACGAATAAACTATTCAGTTCTACATAAGTATTAGTATAGATACGAGTGCCATTACTTATTTTGATCAGGTATGGAAAGTGAAAAATTAATTTCGCAGTGAAGATGGGATCATCTCTCGTATTTCCTTTGTGACACAGATTCGTTGAACGTCTTTAATTCTCAACGAGCACCTGTTAAAAGATACCTTACATATGAAGTGCACTCCAAATACGTCGAGTAGTCCTCATATCGAGTATCTAGGGGGCGGGGAGGGGCTACAGTACACAAAACACGAAAAGTTGTGCTCACATTTAAAACAAGCAACTGATGTATATAACAGCATTTGATTTGCTTTCGTTCATACATAATCCCTTAACATTCAGTTTATATTAAGAAATATCATTTTATTATTCGTTATGTACAGGTGTTTCCTTCGGTTAAGGGTTTATTTCGCAACTGTAAATTCTATGCACTGTTTTCTGTACAAGCGATCGCATTACTGGTCATCTTGAGAAGTCGGTGTTGGTCGTGATGACCAGAGACTGGTTCGAGACTAATACCGTCTTTAGGACGGATCTTGGATCTTATCTCTGGAGTGAGCTCATCTTTTTTTTTCTCACAAAAGTAAGACTGCGCATGGGCATTTATGTATCCATTAAGTAGGTAGTGATGTTCAACGATTATTATGTTTTACGATAAACGATTTTCTCGTCATTTTGTTTTATTATGTTGGTAAAAATGGTAGAAACGAAAAATAACTAATAGGGGTAAGGGTTCTCAGACAAAATATAGTTAATGTAAGTATTTTCTTCAATCAGCTATGAATTGCTTAATTTTTAACATTATTTCAACATTCAATATTTCAATTCCTACGTATACATTATTTCTAAAAATATAGACGTTTTTCATCTATAATTTACTAATAAAATCCTACCTACATTACTACTACACTTTTTATTTACTCTCCAATATATGCCTAATTGCAGGAGACGACACTAACTTATTTTCCCCTCGTTAGCTCGAAACTAAACTGAGTTGGCCAACATTCAAAAATGCTTTGATACCAAATTGAATTACTTTTTTTCATGTTGACACCACTGGATAAAACTGTCAACATTCATTCATAGAACTTCACAGTTATTGCACACAATGACCTGTTAAAGACGAGCGTTTTTTTAAAATAACGCTTTTCGTAGCTGGGTCGGTTAGCGTCCATATTTTACATTGTTTTAAAAGCGTGCGTTGTATCACAAACATAGCATTACTTACTTGACATTTTTGGTTCGAATGCAGCTTTTATTGAGATAGCTGGTACTATTAGTAGCCTGCGGCGCGCCACTGTCTCTACTCTAGGTGCATTCTGAGCTGGGTTTCACGGAAATGTCGACCTTAATGCCCTTAAGATTGAGGTTATAGTTGTTGGAGAGTTTAAGGATTTTTGCCAGGCTCGGAAGAATGAGGACGATGTAGATAGAAGGCATGCCTTCGTATCTTTTGAATTATTAATAAGAAGCTCCTTTTCGTGTGTTGTTTTAGGGAAATCCGTGTGGGTATATTGAAGATTTCAACTCGGTTAAAGCAAACTGTTCAAGGCCTACCTATATCTATAAATTTTCAAGTATAAACGTAGGTTTTATTTTACGACAAGAGCAATCTGGTGCAATAGAATCAAAGAAATCGAGCTTAAGTTACACATCACATAAGCCTTACACTGACACTCGTTAAAATAGATTTAGCTTTTATTGTACATCAAACTTGAGGGTGCTTTTCAACTCTCTATGCTACATTTAATTGGGCAGACTCGTTGGTAAAATTCGATTTTAAATCAGATTCTATTGGAAGACATTGCTAGCGCAGTTACGGGGGCTAGCGGGGCTGTTGCCAGCGCGTTTAGTTAAGATGTCGCTGGCGTGACGCTAAAATGCTTATGTCATGACTACTTGCACAACTTCTTGTCTCGATACAGGGAGAATAACGTTCGGTGGCATCCCGAAGGCCTGCCGGTGACATGTCGCGTGAATTAGCAGACTCGGGACCCCGTACGCATGCGCAGTGCGCTCGTGCACCGCGCGATCGATACGACGCGGACGGGCGCCATTTGGATTTAGTCCGCGCCGCGCCGGGCTACCGCGAACCCGTGTCGCGGCCATGATCGCGCGCGCATTTGTCACCGCGCTCACGGCCCTGCTAATAACGGCCATCGGAAATGCCGAGAAGAGCAAATTCTGTGAGTATTGACTAATCTTTTCACTCGTTTTCACGTATTTCCCAAAAAACCGGCACGTTGAGCACGGTGCACCCCCCGCCGGCGTATTTCCAAGAAAGCGCCTAAGAATTCGCGGCAATGGTGGTCCCGTTTTGCGACGGGGATTATAATTGATTAATGCTAACAAGCCCTTATGCCCGCTCGTATTTATCCTGTTTCCCGGCTCGAGTCGACCGGTATCATATTTTACGATTACCTTAAAAGTGGGCCTACTTTCAGACAGATATTTAGCTTTTTACTATTTTAGGACTACTTAGGATTGTTTTGACAAAGATTTCATTAATGCTTACTTAGGTGTCTAAACACGTCGTCTTCCGTGAAGCGCGAATGTCCTGCCATCGCATCCTCGGAAAGTATGCTTGGCCATAGGCCTATCACTGAAAATAAAACATATACGAAGAGCTAACAAAATGGTTATAATTGCACTATACTATAACGCCGACTGCGTTTGTTACTTTAAAATAGTACGTATTTCTTGCGAAAAGTCTACGACCGGGCGAGTTAATACGTTTAGCGGTAAATAGGTCATGCTTGCTCTATGTCTTACCGCGAAGTGTGTCAAGCTGAGTGCTGGATACTTCTTGTAATTGGATTTCTGTTTTAAAACTAACATAAAGTTGTCATTTTTAATTGCATCCCTGCCAACTTAGCTATATTTTGTCTTTGTACTAATGACTGAATTAAGACAGTCGTTGGCTTTAGAGCGAAAATACAAAGTTGTGTATTTGTTTGATTGATCAACAGTTCTAGGAAATTCAATACTTAGATATTCGTATCGATAATAATGCTGGAGAAGGGCAGGAGAAATAAAGCATAAACTTTAATTTATTCACAAACAACACGACACTTGTTATCAAAATTTGCTATGATCTGTATCAGTATGTGACATTTGACACCTGTTGATTACAAGTTGCTAAGATACCTATTGATCCTCTGCCAACCTTCGCTTAGCTTGGTGACAATCTTGTCAACTGGACCTGGGCCTCCGCAATGCCTCGGCGCTCCAGCCAGCAACATCGTCTCACCGGGAGCCAGTTTCAATGTCTTATTTATATTTACATGGTTTCCTGGTGAGAAATTTGAGCCTAGAAATAATTATTCATTTATTAATTGAAAAAATCTGGCCACATCAAGCGTTTAGGGGATTCGAGATATTAAAATAAAACCTTATCTTTCCGGGAACAAACAGTCAAATATCCAAAACGATCGTCTTCATATAATAAATCTTTTAATATCTTTCGCATTTTTAAAACGTGGCGTTATAAATACTTACGCATAACTTTATACGTGTTGTTTATTAAACGATATTCTAACTCTTTACTTCATAATTTTAAGGACATAGCTAACTATTGCACTGATAAACGCCAATATAATTTTATTTCACTAATTATACTATGTGTTAATGTTAATAATCACGTTTTTAACTGAAAAACAAATATTTCTAGGTTATCATTTAAGCATTATCTTAATTTCCATTTAAATTATCTCGGAACTATGTTAAATAGAATAAATTAGTTGCAATACTCATTGGGTTTGTCAGTCCGTGGGTCTTCTTCCCCCCCCCCCCCCCCCGGCCCGGGGGCCCCCCCCCCCCCCCCTTTGGCCCGGGGGGGGGGGGGGGGCCCCCCCCCCCCGGGGGGGGGGGGGGGGGGGGTGTTTTTTTAAACCCCCCCGGGGGGGGTTCTTTAGGGGGGGGGGGGGGGGGGGGGGGGGGGGGGGGGGGGGGGGGGGGCCCCCCCCCCGGGGGGCCCCCCCCCCCCCCGGGGGGGGGGGGGGGGGGGGGGGGGGGGGGGGGGGGGGGGGGGGGGGGGGGGGGGGGGGGGGGGGGGGGGGGGGGGGGGGGGGGGGGGGGGGGGGCCGGGGGGGGGGGGGGGGGGGGGCGGGGGGGGGGGGGGGGGGGGGGGGGGGGGGGGGGGGGGGGGGGCCCCCCCCCCCCCCCCGGCCGGGGGGGGGGGGGGGGGGGGGGGGGGGGGGGGGGGGGGGGGGGGGGTTTTTTTTTCGTCCGCGGAACGCGGGTCGAGGCTTCGGCGGCGCTGAGGCGATGCAGTTGCGCCGTTGGGGGTGCGGGGGGGGCGGAAGCTATCCGTCCCTTTCCGCCGCGCTTCTTTGTCTTGCCGGTCCGCGGGCCACGATGGGTCGGCGGTTCGGCTTCTGGGTCCTTCTGTTGGGGTTTGGACTGCTTCATGGCGGCCGAGGAGGCCACCGTGCCCGCCTTCTTGTTACGCATCTCGCTGCGACGAACGGGGCACGAGGAATGGTTTGCAGGGTGTGCGCCTTTGCAGTTGGCGCAGGTTGCGGGTTCGTCCCGCGGGCGCGGGCAGTCCGCTGCATGATGCTCGCCGCCGCATCGTACACAAGCCTGGGGTCGGTGGCAGTGGTGTGAGGAGTGCCGGAAAGCTTGACACCTGTGGCACTGCGCGGGCCCGCGTTTACCGCGCCACGCCTCCACAGTCAAGGCCGGCATGCACAGGAGCTCGGTGATGCAGAAAATGGCTGGGGTGAGGCCCGGTGTCCTCTTTAAGATAATCAGGAAGAGGCACCCGGGGCCCCCCTGGGATGACTGGATGCGCTGGGCGTGCACGGGCTCGAAGCCCCTGCTCTTGAGCTCCTTCGTGATGAGCTGAGGGTCGGTGTCGGCCGGGAGGCCCCGGATCGCCACCTTGAAGTCGCGTTCGGCGGGGAGCGAGTACGAGAACCACGACACCTTCTGGTTCTTCTCGAGCTCCGTCAGGTACCGTTGCACGGTGCGGTACTCCTCCCCGTACTTTGGTGAGAAGCGCACCCCTCTGCCGAAGGGGCGCGCGTTCGGCGCGTGCCCGAGACGGTCCCTCAGGGCACGGAAGTGCGTCGTCCACTCGGGCAGGACCTCCACAATTAGTGGCGGGTAGCGCGGGGTGGCAGCGGCAGCGGCGGTGGTAGCGGTGGACGTCTGTGGCAGCGGCGATGCCGGGCGGCGGCCCGCGGCAGGTGCGGCCGCGAGCTGTGCGAACGACCGGGGTGCGTCGATCGTAGTAGCGGGCTCGGCGCTCGAGGTAGGCGCGGCGCTCGGAGTGTGCGCGGAGCGTACGGCAGGCGCGGCGATAGGCGCGGCAAGCGCGGCAGCGGGCGCGACAGGTGCGGCGCGCGGGGCAGGCGCGGGTGGCGCGGCGGGCTCCGGAACGGGGAGCGCGAGTCTTCGTCGCAGCCGAGGATCCCGCTGGGAGAGGGGTTCCGGGAAGGACGGGATGGTAGCGTCCTGGCACGGCCTCTTGGGGTCGCGGGCAGGAGGGGAGGGGGATTCCGGTCGGGGGCGACGCAGGGGGGTCGACCGTGCAATGTTGCCGTAGGCAACTGCCGACTCGTCCTGCGTTAGGGGAGTGCTTAGCAATCCCTCGGCCCTTAGCTCTGTCTCGGTCCTGTCAAGGTACGCCCTGACCGCCGCGTTTAGGCCGTCCGAGAACGCTACTTGCTTCCTTACAATTGCGTAAGCAATTGCGTCGGAATAAAGCAACGCTCTCGGGGAGCCCCGCGGCGCAGGAGGGACGTCACCCGACAGGGACCGGAACATCGCGTCCAGGACCTCGGGAGAGCCTTGCGATAGGGCTAGGAAATGCGATTCGATGGAATCGAGGAAGGAAGGCATGGGCGTCGCAGCGATCTCGGCGGCGACGGTAGCGGCGGTGGCGTCATCGGCGGTGGCGTCAGCGGCGGTGGCGCTGGTGTGTGGAGTCACGTCGGGTTTCGATGATGATGCGTCGACGGCCCGAGCCGGATCACGTCGCGAGCCAGCTCGATCGCTAGTCGAGCGAAGGCGGCCGACGCCCGACGAGTTGAATTTCATTCTTGGTGTAGGTAGCAATGGTGGAGAAGTCGGCACGGCCTGAAGCGTGCTGCGCCCTCGGCCCAAGAGGCGAAGCCACGGGCG